TAAATGGAGATGAGGGGTGCAGCCCTCCTGGATATCAGCAAACAACAGAGCTTGCTGGCAGTGTTACTGTGCCAGGCCCTTCCTCTGTACTTTCCATTTTTGCAACACATTTAATCAGAGGCTGAAGTCCCGCAGTACCATACTGGGCGAATATAGCACTACTGGAATTTCTAAGCCTGAAGCTCAATTTTGTTCAGAGCAGACAAACAAAAAGTTGTACTGCCTAAAAGCCATTTATATTCTCTTCTAGGGATTTAACAGTGTGTGCGTATTTTGCGCTTTTGGGGTAGAGGGTGAAGTTCATACTAAAATGAGAGCAAAGTTTAAGCCAGGCTTGTTAAGGTAGGTGCTTAGGGGGATTAAAAAAAATATACTGTTTTTTCCACAGACTTACTTTAAATGGCTTGTTCATCATTTTACTGTAGATTAGATTCCTGATTTGGTGGTATCCTGCTCCAGTCACAAGTCCTTGAATTTTACAGTCATCTACTTAGAAATGTCTCTTAAAAAAAAAAATAAAATAAAAATAACGCCCCCCAAGCCATTTACATGAGGACCAGAAACCAACCACTGCTGTGTCCAGACTCTCGCCTTTATTACTGTAATATCCACATATTCAGGATGTGGATATGCAGCTGATGCTAACTTCTTTGAACAGTCTCATACTCTATGATTTAGCCACAGAAACTTATACAAAATTATGAATGAATAAATGACTTTTGAAGAGATATGTTTATGGGATATAATCCATAACATTTACAGTCAAATGTGTAGTAAGCTTATATAGTAAAAAAAGGTGTTACAAATTGTGTTACAATCTCAAATTGACATGCTGTACTTCATAATTTTCATGCTAAGGAGACAACTTGTTCTTTAGTCTAAACCATTTTATTTTAGCAACATATATAATAACAAAAGAATCAGTAAGTGTAGTTGTAACTGTGTTGCTAAAATTGTAGTGTTTCACAGTAAATAAATTAGAGTATTAGAAGTAGACATGTCACAAATTTAAAACTCCAAATTAATGTGAGAAACTGAGCAAGTATTCAAACAGCACGTTTAGAGGGTTTGAGAAAAGCATCCAGATCCAATCAGAACCATTTATTGAGGTCTGTAAAGTTTCCTTTTTACTTTGCTGTATACGTTGCTAGGTATTTTATATTTTGAACATTCCCCCTTCTTGTTGTTTGAAACTGAAATGTGATTTTTTTTTTTTTTTTTAATATCCTGATGCTTGTCTGGCTGCATTTAAATCAATGTCAAGTAATTCCTGTAATAAAATGAACAGTATTAGCTATAATTCTTGAAGAATGACTTAGTAAAATACATACTTTTCTCTGCATCCTTTCAGCATGTAAGCTAATATTTTTACTGCTTGTATAGTGATCGAAATACTACTTTTAATACAATTTCTTATTTCTCTAGTTAAAACTGTGTAGAGCTTAGACTAATAAATAGTGCATATTGTATGAATATTTCTTGCTTGTAGGAAGCAAGACGGTAGCTTACAGTTTAACAGTGGGTGCATTTGTGGGTGAAATTCGGTACTGGGAACGGGGCCAGTTCCCGGCGATTTCATTCTTCAATATAGAACATTAACGCAGCAATCTTGCACTAGCCAGGGGAAGCCAGCTCTCCTGACTCTAATCATCCCAAACGACTCTATGGCTAGAAGCCACAAGACGCGGAGTACACACGCGTCCTGGGGAGCCAGGGCGGGGGGAAGCCCAGGAGCAGGTGACCGCGGGCACTGGTGCCTCCAGCTGGGAGGACTGGTGCGGAGGAGGGCTGGGCAGGCTGCTCCGCCGCCCTGAGACAGCCCCAACAGCGGAGCCCTCACATTCCCCTACAGCCAGGCTCCTGTGTGCCCACCCTTAGCAGGGCTGTTGCGCTTGAGCTGGTTTGGGAACCACAGGTGAACCTCCCTGGTTCTCATCCTGTAAAAAGAAGTAGTATTTCCCTTATGTCCTCTGTTGTAATATTTGTGTTACTGCAATGTAAGCGCTCTATTTGTTCAGTTTCCCTCAAGGTACTCTGTCTTAGGATAAGAAAGCATCAAACCATACTTCAAAACTTAATCAAATATAGGATTAGCATGTGTTAAAACAGTATAATACAGTGTAATGTGCCTTTCTAAATAATTATGATCCCAAGTGTGGTAAAGACGATCATTTCTGGGAAGCTGGGACACAATGACTTGTCCTTCCAACTTATATAATCTTCTTTCCTTCGGAAAAAGGGTGGAGTTAAAAAGGCAGGCAGTAAGGATTTTACCTTTGTCATTAGTCCATGAGATAACTTAGAATAAATCTGATTCTAAGTTTAGTCTTCTGAAATAACTAAAGGAACAGTAACTGACATTCAACAGAAAAGTAGATGTTATATTTTAACCATACTTTTCTCAGCACTGTATTCAACATTCAGGCTAGCAGCTGAATCTCCTTCCGTGTTAGTCAACCAGTTTGTAATTGACTTCAATACCAGACTGTTTGATTGTATAACTTGAACCTTGGCTACACCTTCTTATATTCAGTTAAGCTATTTCTTCTCCGTGTTTTCTTCAGTTTTCTAGTTGGAAGCTAGATGGTTTCTGAGTGTTTCATAATGGAAAAGGTGCAGAACACATAACATCAGGAAGAAATAAATTGTTATTTTCTATGTCCAAACTACAGTTTCAAAGCAGGATTCTGGGCTTGAGGAGAAGTACACTGTGACCACAATGTTTTTCTGTTGCCAGGCCCTGTGGTAGATACTGTATTCTTGTTGTGGTGACGAAGTAGATTCCTACACCACAAGTAAATGTCATCCCTACAAAATGGAATAATTCTAAATTCAGCATGATAGTTAAAGCTCTTGGCTTTCAGAAAACTGGGATGTAAGCAGCAAATCAAACAACCTATGTTTATTTTTGATTCAGTGCCATGATTTTGGCTAGTTAGAATCTTACTTTTTGTGCAGTCATAAAATTCTCTCATACCACTCACTGTTGTGCACTGATTCTGTGAAATGCAAGAGAATTCCAGGCACATGTAAGAAAATATCAAGTTGCCATGGAAGATTTATTGGTGAGGCAATGGTCAAATTCTTTCTATATACGCAATTCTAAGCCTGGAACAGCTTCCTTGTCTCCAGCAGATGAGAACGAAATCTGGCTCATTTAATCTAATTTTGTCTCTGCCAACAGATCCTTCTCTCTAGTTCTGGTCTGCAGAGCTGATTTTTGTAATAGCTTCAATATGAAAAAAAAAAAATTAAATCTCAGCATAGAGAGCCTCCAATGCTTCCTTTGAATGTTTTGTAACTCCCACTGTTAGCCAATAACTACACATTTTTTTTTATTTTGATGACACCTGGAATACTGGAAGATCTAACATTTACTCTGACAAAACAATTTATCTTGGTATAACACGATCAGCATCTCAGCTGGGGCTTCTGGATGCTACTCTATGTTACAAACAAAATAAAAAACCACAGTCAGCTGAAATTAATAGTATATTGGAGACATGTCCTTATTCTCCTCACACATGGAAGAATGTGTTGAGGATATTAAAGCGGAACACAATAAACTGAGAGAAATTGATTTTTCCATAAATATCAAACACGTTAGAAAGCAGCTATCACTATTAACCAGCAGTGCTTCTTAAAATATTGCTACAACATTCTTAATGGATGGTTTTCCTTGTGGCTACGTAGGCATGTGTATTGTGCTAGCTCCCCCCGCCTCTTGCACTGCAATACGTAGGAAGCTATTATTCCCAAATGGAGCATTTGCTTGCTGACATCACATGCGGTAGGATCCTTTTGTTTGCCTGTGTCTCCTGCATTGAAATGTTTGTCTGAGTCACAAATCCCGTTGCCTTTCTTCCTCTATGTCATTCCTGCTTGAAAGCTTCTCCCTGACTCAGTTCTTAAATTTTGACACAGCCCAGTTTTCTGCATGGCAGTTGAATACTTTTCCTTTTAATACTTTATTATGTAATTTATACCTAAACACTATAATGATCCCGAAATCCCTGCCACTTTTTTTTTTTTCAGCTTTTTGAATAGAGGGGTTTTGTGACTCAGATTCAGCACTGAGTTTTGTTTCATGGCAAAGTCAGTTTAGTGTTACTAAATTAAAGATTTAAAGATAGTGACTCCCACAACTTGAATTCTCCATTTAGGCTGCTGCATGACTTCCCTCCGCTATAACGTTATCAAGCACTATGCTAGAAAGGGGTCATATGTGTGCATGTGTACAGACAAACACTTCTCATAATCGAAGTAATTACTGTTTTGCACTGCAATACCTTTTTTCTCCTCTAATAATCTTATCGACTTGTTTTCTCTTAATAAAAAGAGGATAAATCCCTGCTGTATTTTTAGTGTACATTCTTTCTCTCATTTGGTTTAGATTCTGGAGCTGCTAATCTATTGCTGGTGTCTAAGAAGCTTGCATTTCCTCTTTACTAAAGCCACAAACAAAACAGATCCTGATTACAGAATCTTCATTCTGAATGCTTTGGTAAAAGAACACAGAATCTAAAGTCTATGCAGCAGTTTGGTTCAAGCCTGAGTGATGGCAAAATATTCTTACTAAGATAGGAACATAAAATTACCATGCTGGATTAAATCTTTTGTCCTTCAGACCTAGTCTTTCATCTCTATTGTTACCATTACAAGATAAATGAGAAGTTCAAAACAGTGCTTTGATTGTCCTTGATCAAGGACTTTGCAGCAGGTAAGGGCTAATGCCCCCATCTGGCATAGCATTGAGGCATGTATTTATCTTAAAACATCCAGCAGCAGCTCCACTGCCTTCTGCCCTGGTCTGAGGCATCTGAACAGACTGCTGCATGAAACCTCATTAAAATTCAGATACACACAAAACCAGACGAGTGATCAAGACCTGTGTCATTAAATGTACCATACTAGATGCTTCCGTTTCATTGGTTTTTTACCCAGAGTAAAAGAAGTAGTTGTATTCTCCCCATCGTCCCCCAAAAACCTGAAGCCTCTTCTTATAGAAAACATAGATTTTTATTACAAAAGGAAAATTATGCCATACACAAAGGAATTTCCTGTGACATAAATTTGCATATTGCAGTCTTAATGTTAAAATAATGTCCAGAGAAGGAATTTATAAATTAGAGTCTCTCAGGCTACCTCTGGTTGCATGATCAGTATGCAGTTGTTCTCCTATGTAGCACACATTTTTTAACATTCAACTTCTGAATCACTATTACTTTTCCTCTTCTCTCCGTGGCCGTTTGCGAGGGTTCATTTCAGTATCTTCTGCATTTTGAGTGACAGCTGGAGGCTGCACATCTCGGAAGCCATGAGACTGTAACATATAAGCAAAATCATGCGGTAACGCTTCTATGGATATAAGGCATGAGTAACTAGTTCCGGGAAGATCAGAATAAGGTATGATGCTGTCATTTATTTTAGATGAGCAGCCACAGAGCGTTTATAGACCAGGCTAAGGTCAGAACTGCAAGCTTTTCAACACACATGCCAACTAATAACTGAGTCTCCTTATTTTATTTTTTAAAGATACTTTACTTTCACCAACCAGGCTATCATTTTAATTTTACCACTAATAATCCCTATGCTATGCTATGAAGCACTGCTTCTCTGGAAATTAACTTATGTTGCCTATTTCAATAAATTAAAAGCCAAATCCTCCAGCCCTTATCCAAGCTCCCACAGAAGCAAGGAGACTGGATTAATTGCCTCAGTCATTTTCAGAAACAAAACTGTGAATTTCTAAAACTTAGGATATTTTTGTTTCATGTACCTACTTAATGAACTGAAAACATCAGTGAGACATTGTAAGAGAACAGCATTTCTGAATCAGTCTCTAGACTGCAAGGACTGTCCAGCATGGTAATATATGGGACACAATAGGATGAGAACCTTTAACTGCCAAACACTAAATGGAGAAGAGAAAACTAGATGCTGCTACTCAGGAGACAGCTTAAAGTGATCTATTTGGCTTAGTACCATTTGTATTTTCTGTTACTTTAGCTCACAATTCAATGATTTTAAAAGATTTTAAAATATGAAAGATCTGGAAAATCAGTTAGTTAAACATGTCATCAATGCAGATGGAGATAGTGAGATGATATGTGAAGCCTGCAACTGTCTGTCTTCTCACCTCCAGACAAATGCTGTGCAGGGAGCGCTGCTGACAGCTTAGTAAAGACTCTCACTGCAGTGCAGACTTAGAGAGGAAAAGGGGTTAATCAGAAAAATAAATTGCTTTGGGGATCCTAAGTGCTCACAGAGAGACAATGTGGGCTTTCTTTCAGGAAAGCTGACATTTTAGGTTGGTGCAGTGTGAAAGGCAGGTAAGATTACTATCAGACATGATTTTTCTAAAATGCCAGTATGTCCCACACCAAGATCAATCCAAACCAAAGCAAAACCCAATCAAAATGTTTTGCTGAAGTTTCCCACCTCTGTATTCCTATTTCAATGCCTCACCTCACACAGCTTATGCTTTTAAGGGAACAGCCCGCAAGAGGTGCCACAAGGGCAGAATTTGTGCAGTCCCTCTGCTATTATAAGCAACTCGAGTGTTATTCTAAATAGTGTAATGGGGAATCTTCAAGTTTACTGTTTCATTGCTGCTTGCATCTAATCTCTGCCATTCCCTTAGGCACAAAGGTGGATCTGTAGCCAAGAATCCACTTAATCCAGCATGCTAGACTCCCAGCAAAAGCATTCCAATAGTTATAAAGGCCAGAACACGATAAAGTAGGCTGCTTAGTATGGAAGTTTTGCACTTAGTTAAAGTCACGTACCTTCCGGGCATAGCGCCTTCAGACTGCAGGAATTGTGTGTATATTTGTGAAGCTTATTGGTGGTTTTTAGATGGTGAGAATGTGGCTAATGGAACCAAGGACCTACAAAGCTCAGATAGTCCATGGTCATTTCGAATTGTTCGTTAATGTCTTCTGGCATCTACTGACAGCATCAGGATTGACAAAGGTAGATGGCTTTACTACTGGAGTGGTATTCTCCTTGCTAGTCTGGCAGACTCTTGACAGTTCAGGGAAATACTGACAATTCCTACCCAGAAGATAGGTCCTGGGTCTCTATCTTTCACGATGAAATAATCAGGTCACATTACCTGGGAAATTTAGGTGAACCGGATCATCTACTTATTCCCTCATGCATAAATCAATTTACATTTCTATACTCTGCATTTAAGAATGAATCCTTATCAGCCTGTGAAAGAAACTATTTCATTTGCTCAGTGTTCCACAGCTTCCACACTTACTCAAAGTGGTGACCGACTTGCCAATATGCTGGAAAGGACACAGCTGAAAAACCCCCCAGATCTCGGTCACTAAATTACACACTTCTCCATCATCTTACAGGCACTGAACAGTCAGTTTGTCAATGGTACCAAAGTATCTAATTTGCATAAGCCTAATCATTTTTGAGAATAGGCTTGAAGAATTTATTTCTTTATCTTTTTTTGTATGCTGGTTATACATAGATGTGCTAGATCAGATTTGGAAACACTGAACACGTATTTACATATTCCAGTTTAACTATGGAGATGGGAATGAGAAATGATAACAGCAGACTGTTATCATCAGTCCTGAATTTCATGAAAGAACAGGGATAATGCATTTTTTTACTTACAGAAACCATATGCTGAAGCAGCTCAACGGGATTAAGGGAAAAAACACAGGGATAATCTGAAAGGGTTAACTAATCTCTGATTAGGATACACTCTCAACTATATTTCAAGACTGTGTGCATTTACACAGAAGTGAGCACAGCTGTTTTATAATGCATATAAAACTGAAAGGAAAAGGGAATTAAACTGTCTAAGATAAAATCCATCTGTTTGTCAGCTGGAGAGAAAGGGCTGCATACTCACATCACATGATCCAAACAACCTTGGGATGTAGTCCCACCTACCCTTCCAGTCCTTACGGAACTAAGAATTTATGTATTTGCAGTATTTCTTCTGTCCAGGTGAATACATTCAGGAGTAAAAAAAATTTCTGATTCTGTTCAATAGTTAGAAGATCTCATCTTATGGCAGTGTTAGTATCTGCAGGAAATGCTATGGCAACGTGTTTCCATGAAGACACATAGCAAATAGTTATGGTATGTACCTATGTATCTGACATTTGAAGATATAAGAGTCGAGTGCTGGGCTTTTTTTAAACCTAAATACAGCTTAAACAGTATGTATTCTCATTAATATGTATCTAAGCACTCCACAAAATAAAATAATCACAGGATTTAGCTAGGCATGAATAAGGACTCCAGCCCTAAGCTGGAAGCTCCTCATATGATAGTGACAGAAGAGAAAATTCTGTATATGTTGGCTGGTCATACGGTCACCAGTAGGATGGAGCTATGAAAGAGATAAATACAACCTAGGTTATATCAGGCAGTACACTTAAAGCAGAGATGTGGAAATATCTATGGCACAAAGCACTGGTGAGAACTCTGCAGTACCATGTATGATTCTGGTCACCCTTGTCCTAAAAAGATAAACTCAGCTGGAACAGATGCAGAGAAGAGCCACTCGGGAAACAACCCAACAAGGGAGAAAACAGCTTGGCTTGTTCAAGTCTCCCAAAATGAAGGCTCAGAGAGTGCATGACTGTTCTCTGTAATTGCACTCAGGCCAAAAGTTAACATCAAGGGCAGATAAAATAAGCAGTACTAGCACAAGAACAGATGGGGACAGGCTGCCTGTAAATTTGATCTGGAAATCAAAATGTTTTAACTCTTAGGAGAACTAACATGCCGGGTCATTTTTCTAAAGAGAAAAGAAGGGTGCAAAATATTGATAAACCTAGTGGCATCCCAATATTACTGGTTACCTTCAAAAGGCAACTGAAAGGCAACACTAAGAAAGCAAACATCATTCTCAGATTTGTCTATGTGTCTGAAAATTCCTTTACAGCTAACAACTTGCTCCCATCTCTGTATCTCCATCCCAAAAGAAATACTAACTGTAATGTGGTAGGGTACGGTTGACTCCTTTTGACTCGGTGATTTGTACAACGTTGCCAACCTGGTTAAACAAAAACCAGATAATTATAATTAGTGAATGTAATAATAAAAATTCCAAGTAACCAAATGGGCAGACCCAAGTTTTTCCACAATCATGGGGTAGGTGACCAGAGGAATTCTTATGTATGTATTTTCATATAGGTCATTTAAACGGTGGATGCCAAATTCCCATCCTTACATGACCTGTCAGCTCAAGTACAATGTAGACCTACTGAAAAGACTGAATGATTAATTAGCCTTGTTTCATTGCAGTATTTGATCACATTTTTGGAACAATATTCATTATGAATTAATTCCAAATGCTACTTTCTTAAAATGCAAACAAAAAAGGTTTTGAGCACAACTCTTTCCTACTCCATTAAGCAATCATTTCTTCATTGACCTCTCAAAGTTGGGAGATACCCTCAAGAATTCAAATACTTCTAGGTAGTTTTTTCTAGAGATTTCACAAGCATGTCAATATAACCTAGTGGATGGAGAATGAGAATGAGATGTTCTATTTCTAAGCCTGACCTTGCCACTCACATACAGCATAACCTTGAGAAAATCGTTTCTCTTGTAATTCTCCTCTAACACTTGCTTGATTTTGTGCATTTAGACTCTAAGCAATGCATCCTGATTTGTGCTTATACAGCACCTAGCCCAATAATATGCTTGCGTAATATAGATAGAAGATTGCAAAGCAGCTCAAAAGCAAGGATTTTTCAACCAGTCCCAGGGCTGCTAGTCTGCACCATGCCCACCTTTCCAAAACTTACACTTACGTAAAGCCAGTACAGAAGGTGTTCTGCTCTCTGTATCGAGACACCCTGCCAAAGATGCTGTTAATTATTTGTGGTTTTTTTTTTTCTCCCTGAGGTGCCATTCTATTAGAGAGAACGTAATTACAGCCTGAGGAACACTGCCACTTCATATTAGCTACACAGGGAATTCCTCAGAACATTTAAGTGGTGGGTTATACTTTACAAAATAGCCTAAATCTGAAGCTGCAGAAGCCATACTTTTACAAGCACTTGGCTAGAGCTCTGCTGCATGCCTCTGACTTAACAAGATCTTTCCTCACAGCAATGAGAACCCTTATAATTAAACTCTGACATTTTCAGTAGTAGAGAGAAAGGAGACAGGTATCATATTTGGCCAAAGCACAAAAAAAAAAAAAAAAAAAAAAAAAAAAAAAATGCAAAATGGATTCTCAAATGGTCATCTTTGTGCCTAAGTAGCTTAGTATAAAAACCAAGAACAAAACCATGATGGATCATCAGGTATAGGTAGTTCATGCAACAGAACCTAGCTATTTCTGCTTTTTACAGATAGGCAGCTGTAATCAGAGTTGCTATGCTTCTGCAGGCCCTGCTCCATATTAGCTGCATATTTAGAACAGTAAATAAAACATGTTTGTCTATCTTTGGCTTGCTTTCTGCAACCTGTATCCCCAGCCTTCCTAGCTGTGTTGCAGAAGAAAAAAGCTCTTTATTTTTGATATATAAAATTAACTTTTCTTCACTCTGCAATCATTATGTTGATGCAACTACTGTCTTATAAAGGCTGTTAACTAATCAGTGATGTTAATTTAATTCCAAATTAAACAGCCTGCTGTAATCGTTCTGCATTGCCTTCAAACTTAGAATTTAAAAAGCAAAGCTCCACAAGAAAGTGTGGAGCTGCATTTCTCTTTCAAGGTTAACGAGCAAAACTATTCACAACAACATTCCAGTAGCATTTTTGTTTGCTGTTTGCAGAAGATTAGGGAATTGAAGCAAGGCTGCTTAATCTCAAATTGCTGCATTGTGATACTATATACAAGACAAATTTAACTGACCAGGAAAGAGAAGTGAGCTTGCAGTATAGTGAAGAGTGGAAAGAAGAACCAGGAAACTTCTAGAAAAGACCTCACTGCAACAGACAGATCTTCATACTGTTTTTAGAAGGGTCATCCTCTTTCCTTTGGGCTTCTAAAATCAGCCTCTGTAGGTCAGCTCTGCACTGGGAGTAAATGCAGCTCTCTTTCTACCTCTCTGCAGTCACTGTAACTTGGTATCTGCACAGCTGTCCAGTTTTGGAGAACCATTCTGCTGCATTCAAAAGCCAAAAGGTCCAATGGCTGCTACTGAGGCTCAGGGGTCAGCAGGGCTATGGTCTGTCTTGAGAATCACTACCTAGGTGGAAAGTCTTCTTTGGCATCTTTGTACAGATTGGGGCCTAAAAGACTGAAGAGAAGAAATTCTAGTCCCTGCTTACAAAATGCAGATAGTAAAAAAAATATTTCTGCTTAGCCACCAGATCCTAAATTGTTGTGTCTGAGCAACTTCCATTAGGATGTTATATTTTGATGAGACATGGCATCTCGTCAGAAAGAAAAGTACAGCACTGCAGCAAGCTGACCATGGTGAGAAGGAGGAGCGTGTCTGTTCAGCCCACACCATCTTAGGCTGAGCTAGAAAGTTCTTGGGCCTCAGTAGCCTGGGACATGGCAGGCCAAGGCCAAAAGTCAAATTCAAATCCCTGCCTGGCTACTAGGGCCAGTCTGAAAAGGATTCTCAAATATCCCATTTGTCAGTATTATTATGTAACTTACTGTCCTACATTTTCACTTACCTCTGACTGTTGTCCCAGTGAAAAATTAAACGGACAGTAGCAGCATGTCCCCAGCTTTCTCCTGGGTGACACAAAATGACAGGTCATTTTATTTATCTCCTATAACAGCAGCATTATCAGTAAACCAAACTGAAATTAGACCAGTCTTCAAAAAAAAACGCTGATTAAAACATACACACCTTTCTTGCAGTAATGAATCACATCATCTTCATATGTGCAAGGATTTTACAACTAGTTTATCAAATATACTGAGACAAGGAATAACCTCTGTACTCACAGTGCGTTTTATAGAAAGCTTGATGCAATACTTCCATGTTTGTAGAAAGATTATATCTATACCTAATAAAGGACAGGTACTAGACAAATCTTGAAAACAAAGGCAACACGAATAAAGATTTTTCTAATTACTACTAAAGTCTGGTGAGTATGTCTAAATCCTACTTCAAAACTGTGATATTCTGTCTCTCAGGCATAATTATGAGCAAACATCACTCCCTTTGGGATACAAGCTTTGGGAGAAAGTCAATGATTATTAAAGTATTAAGGGCCCCTGAAGCAGTCTTCTGCTTCTGACAGCAAAATGCAAAAGAACACAACCAAAAGCAAGGGGCTGGGAGGTGGGGGGGGGCATGGAGAAGAGAGAGAGAAGGAGGTTTGGACTGTTATCCTATTTCAGGGGACAGTCCTACTGTTTCAGTTCACACCTGACCACAAGCTCATTCAATTTATAGACAGTTTTATTGGGTGTTTTCCTCCGTTCACCCTGGGAAGACAGTCAGTAGCCCAAAGATGGATTGCATTTTAAAACAGCCATTCTGGTTAAGTGCCGCAAGCCTCTTCTATTCACCCACACAAAGCCCTGTAACTTCTGAATCGCTTGTCAGTCTCCATCATGTCACCAGCCCCCCATGCCCCATGTGCTCTGGTATTCACTATAGCACAGAGAAGGAAACAAATGATTCAACTGTAATGAAGACCTAGACCCTCTAGGCATCTTGCCAGACCTTGCTCCACTATATCTAAGTTGAGATTAAAGTTTTTGGCCATCAGACACAGTTCCAACTCAGAGATCAAAACACATTTTACAATGGGTACAAATTCCACACCAGAATATTTCTAACTGTATCGAATATGAGAGAAAAATGCTACTGTAAAATTAGATATTTCTGAGTTAAACTGGCTGTAGATTAATATTTGACCTCCTTTCTAAATATATCCAGTAGAAATGTCTAGGAACACCCAGCTTAGCTATCACTAGTGAGAAAGAAAGCTGTCCCCTTCATAAAGCTCTTGGCTTAATACCTTGCAGCATCTGTGCTTTTTTTTTTTTTTTTTTCCCCTCATAATTAAGAACTTCCCTTCTGCTAGGAAGCTGAATAAGAGTTTAGAGATTAATGCTCTTGTGAAATCTTAGAAAAGGCTGTTTCTACGGCTTACCAATCAATGGGGAAAAAAATCTATTTAGGGAAGGCAATAGGATTGATTTTACTTGAGGTTTTGCTGCTGACCCCTCCCTCAATACTTTCTTTGGCTACAACCAAGCATGGAGGAGTAGGAGGTTCTTTAGCCTTTAGAAGGAGACTGTTGAAATAGCATTCCTTCAGAGTGGGTCATAAAAACTACCTTGTAATCCACAAGCTCAGTACTTACACCAAGTCTATGGAATAAATTCATGTCGAAATTAAAACAGCTTTGTACCATTCTGAAATGCTCAACTTGAAATATTGATGTTTAGGATGAGGGGAATATCTCTTCGCTTAAATATTTTACCAACTGGTACAAAGTTTCATTTTTGCAAGAGTACACACTACTCAGTTTAACAATACTTTGTGGTTACACACGTATTCTGGTGAAAGTCACAATCAGTTTATGGTCAATATGATTTTACGTCAAATTAAATGTTTGTAAAAGATAATATGCACAAGACAATGCACAATATCTTTGAATTACAACCTACTCTGAATGTCTTCACATTCTTTACTGTCCCCATAAATCAATAAACACAAGAGCTCTCGAACAACACTGGCTATTGAAAAAAGACAGAATCTATTAGCTTTAATTGAGTTTGTAGCCAGAAAGGCTGCCAAAAATAATACATCAGAGAGCAAGAGGCAAAAACAACAAAAAGGGTCAGATACTGGAAGCTGGGTCTTTATCTGCATGCACAGCTCAGAATTCCACATTCTTCACATTCTCAAAGGAGATGGTCTGTATTTGTTCATTTTATCTCGCATCTGTGCCAAACAGTTCAATGCCTGTACAGACACTGAGAACACCTTTGCCTTTGTACTGTCCCCTTCTTCTGCCTCCCCTCCAGAACAAGGGAATCATTACTTAGTTCACATAAATTGAAGCTGTGGACAGAGAATTTGTGCCCTTTAAGTGCATCATAAAATAATACAGAGCTACAACCTGAAATAAGATTTAAACGCTGAGCTTCTTCCTAATTTGTCAAAACCTCTACTTCAGAAGAACTGTTCTGTTTTTCCCTTGTGACCGCAGCAAAAGTCTGTATACGGTACTCTGCTCATGACAGGGCAAAATGGAGCAGCCTGTAAAAAACACTTAAACTCACTAAGGGCAGGCTGTGGTTGAGGATCCAACACAGAACTTCCCTCTACCTTGTAACTGCAGAGAGCAATGGGTAAAGAGTTCCAGCTATGCAGCAAATATGAACCGCCTTTGCAAATAACTAATGGAATGTGTTCAAGTGTAATAGCAAAATAAACAATCTAAAGTGTTTTGGAGAGGCCGTGAATGATTCTCAGGGAATTTAGGAAATTGCAGCAAAGTTTGAGGTGTGCAACCATGAAGCTGTGTTCTTCTGTTAGCACTGTAACCTGTTCATCACCACATTCCTGCTAGAGGTTTACTGCCCCCAGGTCCACCTCTACATTTTTTGCATGATCATTCACTAGCCAATTTCAGTCTAAATTACCTGATTTATCAGAGGTTTACTTATTACTTAAATATCTTGATCTTACCTGGCCCACTTTTGGCAGAAATGGATTAGGAGACGATCACATAAACAGCTCAGCCAGCATATAGGATGTGGCAGTGACCTCCAGCAGAGGTACTGGCCTCCTTAGCTGGCACAGCTGCAGCTGGAATAGAGGTAACCCCACAGCCCAAGATCCTCAGGGGAAGGCTGCAATACATTACCTGCATGTCTGAAAACCTAGTTATTCAGAGAGCTCTTAGTACCTAGTGCTTCCCCATAAAGGGTGATTCAGTCATCTTAAGGAACACTAATAGATCTAATATCAAGCTTAGTATTAAAAATTTTGGTTTAAAAGGGAAAAAAAATATATAAATCAAGCAATACTCTCAATCTGTGAGTTTCTGCAATCTGAAAATGTCATGACTTCAAAAAATATCTGTAATCCCTTATCAAAAATCTAACCAAGATTCTAATCTACACCCCATGTTTGAATTTAGAATAAAATTTGATAGTTGCTAATTATCATCACAATGCTGCCATAGATAAGCATTGCTGTAGAGTTCCACAATGCTAGCTTTTCCATATGGGTCTAATATTTTCACCATGGATTCAGCTACACTGAAGAAATTCAGTAGACAATTTCATTTTCATCGTATACAGTGCCAACAGAAAGGAAGTCATATATTTGAAGATTAACTCAGTTTTCAGCTCACAAGCTAAACACCTACCTAAAGCAGGTACCAATGTGGACTGGCTTTGTCCAAACCTTGTTGTCATTTGGTTTGTCAGAACTACCTAAAAGAGGAAACAGAAGCAAACAAACAACAGAATCTCCAGAAAAGAAGCAGACTGGTGGGAGGAAAGAGAGGGATTTTTCAAAAAACTTTTACCAATAAACTAGTTACTCAGTCAAAACTCTTGCCAACTGTGATGAAGCTTCTGTGTTAACAAGAAGACACTGTAAAGGTGCCTCACCTTTTCTCAATAGCCAAAACAAAATAAGAGAACCCTGTAAAATATATTTTCAGTTTACATGGAAGGTAGATTTCTTTCATTCAAGTCTTTGAAGAAACCTAAATTTCTCCCTTCCCAAGGAATGCAAACTCTACATAACTTGTATGTTCCACCGTATCTGTACTAAATACTGTTTGGATCTGTATTTAGATGCACATGACTTGTACTAGCCCTCTATAAAGAGATAGATTTCAGTCACTGTGGCATAAATGAACTTGGTGGTGCTGCTCAAAACATGCATAAGCCTAGTGATTAACAAAATTTCTGCACCTTGTAGTCTAAAAATGCGCAAGTGGGTACAATACAAAGCAGAATGAAAGTGAACAGACAGAGCGGGGGAGTGTTTTCGCAGTACGAATCACTCGTAGGAGGTTCACAGACAGTCTAGGTTAGATCCCTGGTAGAAGTGGGGGTGGGTGAGACAGAAAAGAGCCAGGAATATTAATTGCAAAGTTCATTAAAAATGAAAAATAAAAAATTGTACCTATCTTAAACCCTATGGGTTTTCATTGTTTGACATGCTAGTATGATTCTTGAACAGTTAGAAAAGTGTGCTAGAGCAAGCAATTCCACTGAGCACATGGAGCACACACCAAAGCATTTACATAGCTGAAAGCCCCAAGGCATATATCGCTTATTTCAGAGAAGTAATTCATCATATATGGATTATAACAGCCCCAAATAGGCTCCCCATATCACTGCTGGAGAAGGGCTGGTCTGGGCATCCTAGAACAACCCACCGAAACTAAAGGAACTTACTTCCTACCATATTAGAGCATTCAGACTGCCCGGCTTTGCTGCCTGACACGCAATCTCTGGCATGCAAGCTGAATTTAGACTGCTTGCAAGCTACCTGGAACTAACTCAGAAACTAACAAGAGGGCCACCCTGAGCTAAATCATTGCTGAAGTTCTGTGACTGGTCACTTCTTTAGCAAGTGCTTATTTAGCAAGCGTTTATACTAAACTGCTCACTTGTCCAATAGAAATGTTATATATGTTTCCCTTGACCAAAGGAAAAAAGACTGTACAATGACAACTGCTCTCGTTCAAGGTCACCAGGTACCCAATTTATAAGTGAAAGCACTCACTAAACTGGAGGCCGTGCAAATCCAGCAGTATCATAACATTTGTCTCCCCTGGTACCCACACCAGCAAGAAGAAGCTTCATAATTCAGGTTGGGGCAAGAGAGAAGGTAACACCTTCAGCAGCAAGCCCAATTGCCTAACCCAGGCGGAATGCATTGCTGTGCTCTTTCCCTTCCTGCAGCTATCAGAGGAAGCACAAGGGGAAGCTTATTTTTAGCAGTTAGGAACAAAAGCCAATTGCACAAGAGGGTTGTGGGTGACAAGGTTGCAAGTCACCTGGAAACAGTTACAGGCACAAGCACCATTTTGAGCCTGCATAAGCTTCAATTCCTGAACAATGCTTTTCTGTGCTGTCAAAGACTTGCCAAAACAACTTCTGGAACAGATGTAGCTTCTGAGTGCCATCTGCTGGCTACGAGGCTGCAGATTTGCTGGCCTCCATACTGGCGTAAATGATGTAGAAACAATGCCCGGGAAGGAAGCTATGGGTTTCCATGGATGCCAGAAGAGCAAGCCAAACTAGCAGATAAAGTGGTTTTCCTCCCTAAGAACAGTTCCACTGCTAAGACTTTAGTTTATTTCTAAATAAAGAGTGGAAATTTACGTTGGAACTGCTAAATACTCTGATGTGTTTTAATGCATCCGCTTTGTAGGTAGAAGTCACCAAAGGAGTATCCCTTGTCCAATTAAATCATTAAAGAAGATGATGTGAAACAGCATGACAAATTGATATGCTACTATTTAATTAAGATCCACAGGTTGCTTTTAATGCAAATTTTACTTATTTTGGCAAGTCTAGGAATTTTCCACCCGAACAGTTTTGCCTGTGGGTTCCATCTATATTTACTAGCCAAACTGGCAAACACAGATGTAAGGGACATTCTTGCAGTTTTAGTTTGCTATTTATAGACAATCACAAATCACGTTTGCTTAATTCTTTGTAATGTTCTCCAAAGTATCATCTTTTGTGATTTAAACCTGCCCCAGACTTACCGCTGATTTGTGATCATTTGCTATGATGATCAGCTGTTGTGCCAGACCATTCAAAAGCCTTGTTCGAAGTGAGAGGTCCTCAAAGTCATGGCGAAAAGGAAATGCAATTCCATCAACTACCACCAGTCGGACCTAAATGCAGAAGAAAGGGAAAAACTATCATTACAGCCCTACAAACAAATGACAAAAAGCAACAAGACCTCTTTTTAAGTGCACAGGGTGACGACAATCTTTTTTATTCATACTCAGATGTGCATGACAGCATCACACCTACTGTCTCTTTCTCTATATTGGAGACAATCAGCACCTCACAAGAGCACAGGGTAAAGGGCCTCAAGCTCCAAACACACTAGTACACTTGCTAAGTGCAGGATGCTAGCTCAGACCATAGCTGCACTAGTTTAAACAAAATGCTGCACTAAGCTCTCCCATTAGTTAACTCAGTGCAGAGCCTCCCTTCTCACTGTTTCCAGTTTCAGAGCTTGCATGACTTATCTCTGTGGCACCTGGTACAGAATGCAAAATAACAAAGCTGGACTTAAAGCCTTGCAGAAGAGAAGCTGAAGAAAAAAATATCATTAAACATCAAAATTGTACTTCAATCATCTCTCCACAAACACTAATTTATTTCATCTTCTCCCTCAAAAATTAAATCCAAACCAAAATTAGAATACATGCTGTCTGTAGCCCCTGTTAAGACAGATCACTGATATGACCCTTAGAATCAGATGAGTTATCGTAGAAATACAGATCTTAACAAATGCTTAAAGATATTCCAGACACTATGCAATAGAGCCTGAAGATGTTTGGTTTGCTGAATTATTTCTTTTGTGGCTGAAGATACAGCACAATGCTGCTTCTGTCTCGTCACCCTCAAGACACTATATAAACATTAGTCTGGGATTTTGATTTATTCTAACTTCATTTGTTGCAGCTGTTTTGATGACCCAAGTTTGTCTGAAATACAGAAGGGAGATGGATAGTCTTACAGTGTCTGCATGTTCAGATGTCACTCAAATCCTAGGTATCTACAAGTTCTTGCATTAATGCACAAAATAACAAATTGGAAACAACACAAGAAAACGAATTTTCTGTGTTATTGATTTATAACTCCTTATTGGGAAGTTGCTTTGTGACTGGAACATCCAAGCCTGCAGCAAACATCACTCTCTGAAATGGCCCTGGGCCTCTAACAGAAAAAAAAATAAATCGTAATTTGAAAAAGAAGATTAAATAGTTAAAATTAAAAGAAGATATTACTCTGTTTTCTCATTTTTCCTCTTTCCTACAAATTCTTTTCTATAAACCTGTACATCTTCCTCATGCATAATTTTCTGACTTTAAGAACAATCAATTTAATGGTATAAACATGACTCATGCTAGAAAAGAATGTATATATAAATATACAACTTGCCTATCAGATTAATATGTCCAGGTAGGATGCAATTTACTTTGTTTTCTCCCAGTTGCACATCTTATAAAATAACAAACAAGTAGATTTAAATTATTCAAAACTAGGCTATACAGAAAAAACTTGGTAACACATGCCTTCTCCATGTCAGTTTGTCTCTACTAGACCTTAAAGAATTAGGCGTATTATGACAAGAATATTTTCTAGTGTAGTCTTTTTCATGTTATTAACAAGATCTCAAACTAACGCATATTTCCAAATTACACTCTCTACAACGCTCTCTCTCTCTAAAAAAAAGAAACCCTAAAACTTGGAGGGTTCCTGTTGTCCCAGTCTCAGCTCCAGGTCTGCACCGAGGGATGAGACTAATTTTAATGAGAGCTGGACTGTGATGAGCAATCTGTCAAGACACTTACAGCCTGTCCAAGGAATCACCAGAAGGTCTTATGGTTCTCCTGCAACCTTCAGTATTTCAGGCTCCAGGCCAAGCACAGATAATCAGCACAGATGGTACCAGAGAACTGCAGCCCAATGTAACTGTGCTAATGAAGCCATGTACTTTCCACAAGAGCAAACACAACAGGGCACCGTTAGTACCTGGCAGAGAAAGGGAAATACCAGACTACACTAAGCAAAAGTAAGACTCCCATCTGCGCTTTCAAGAACACAACAGCTTCCAAAAATTGAAGTGATATGCAAAAGACAATCTAACTAAACAACATTGATTTGTGCTCTGTTAGAATGAGGCACAAGTCACCTTTCCCAAATCCTGTTAGTGAGTGATCTGCTGTTCAGGATCTAGAAATCTGGAAGGGAGGTGGCAAAAATTTGCCTTACAATAGCATTTCACTAAGGCACTGGGTACTAGGAAACTTTCTGGCTGTAGTCCACCCAGGAGTCAAGCTGCAGGTTCTGGCTGCTTCTAGCAACAGAGGATGTGTTGGAAAGATGGAAAAGAGTCACTTTCTGGATGCCAAGATAGTGCAGGATGCTTCTGGTCCTCAGTGATCTTCTAGGAGAAAAAAAATGGCACTAAGCCTTTCTGATCCCCCTATGCCATGGTCATCACATGCACACCTGGCTCAGAGACTCTTTTGTAAAGCAGTTTTGTGCTGATTCATAGCTCAGTGCTCATAGAAATGTAACAACATGTGGCAACATAGATCCAGTATCCTTGCCTCAAAGGGGAGATTCAGGATGATGGCAGCAGTGGTAGCAGAAGCAAATTACTCTCAAGAGTAATTGGGATGGGAATGAAAAAGCAAACAAGCAAGCAAGCTTTACATTTGTACTCTGGCATCAGCCAATATATTACTGCCAAGCTGATGAGGTATCAAGGTGTTACTCACGTTACTCTTACTATAACAGATGAACATCCTGAAAACAGATGAACATCCCTGAAAATCTTTAGTGTGAAGAAGAGTGTTATCTTCTGATAAGTCTGCAATAACCCTTACCTTTGAATGCTCTGAAAGAAAGTCTGGGAGGAGGTAGACCTGTGCAAGAAGCTCTATGTAGTCACAGCAACGGAAGTAATATATATGAGAAAGGATACTTTCAAGAGAGAAAGTCTCCAAAGCTTTCAGATGATCTGAGGACAAATAAATAGATGCGTAAATGAGTCAGAAGTCTGTACTAGTATACTGTTACTTTCATCATTCTACCAAACTATGCCTTCCACATATAGCAACAGCAAAACCCCCAGAAACAGAAACAGTCAAGGTAAAGAGTGCAGGAAACATACCTTCCATCTGGCTTGAAAGTCAAGAAGGAGGTGAGCAGATGCTATCTCAGCATTTGCACACAGATACATCGGAGCCTCCAAGGGAGCTCTCCAAAAGTGAAAAATTTATTTCTGAATAAACAACTTTTCCAGTAAATCATTTCCAAGCCAGAACACCATTAGAGAACAGTGACTATTAATCATCCATTGTTTAATGTACAGGTAGTAGCTCATTTAATATGCTGTCCTTTTTCCTCTGTTCAAACAGAAGTTTGCTGCATAAAATATTCTAAGAGTAACATAAAAGTTGTGTCAGTATCCCCAACACACTGATGACTTACAGAATAAAGCTCTTCATTAAATGCAACCTGGCTATATTTACCTTATGAAGGAGCTGAATTCCAACTACAGTTTTACAATACAGGGCTTCAGCAGCAACATTTCCTCGAGAAAGTCTGTTATTCCTCTTCTCTTTCCCCAGCTGCGGTGCAGCGCATTATCCCTCAATTTTGCTGACAAAATTGTGTTTGGGTTTTGCTGTAAATTCAATCATTAAAGTGCTAAAGAGGGGAAAAAAAAAAAAAAAGCCAAAAACCCCACAAATCTTCATGTGAAAAAAGAATTTTTCTTAAAGTAGATGAGCTCATCCTGCAGCATGGCTCCACTTCTACATGCAGTTCAGGGTATGATACATACAAGTGGAAATAAAAAGGCTGGCAGCCAGAACTCCTTAAGCCAGCACTGCTGCTGAAAGCCCCAAACTGTAAAACTGCAGCCTCCAAGACACTCAGATCCTAGCCTACTAGGCAGAAAGAAACAATTTAGCAGTGTACCTTCTTCTTGATGAGCTTCGGCAATAAGCTGGCAATGCTGCACACAGGCAGTTGCAATCTCTGCTACTCTGTCTACCATAAAACTTCCTTCGGTATCAATGAACACGGCTTCTCCAGCTACGCCCCCAAAGCATTCCGGGATCTGTACGTCTACTGCCAACTGCATACTGCCATGGGAAACAGAAAAAAGAGAAATATTTACATCACAAAGCTCTCCCCTCCCAAATCACTCCTAAAGTGACATTTTTGCTGAGGAAGACATGGAACAGGAAGCAGTGCAGCCATTATCATGATTATATTTATAATGCTGTAGAAGGATCAGAGATTGCAGCCATCACAAGAAGAAAAATTAACTCTCTGCACAGTTAAACTAAACGAAGAAAAGTGATTCTCAGTTGTACAAAAGTAGTCTAAAAATAAAATACCATAGCTGTGTTTTCCCAACACCAGGCGCTCCACAGATCTCAGTGATTTTTGTTAGTTGCACACCACCTCCCAGAATATTGTCTAGTGCTGAACAAAAGGTGATGATGAAGCCCTGGGCTTGTTCTTCTTCCAGAAGTTCCAGTGCTGTGCACTTTCTGGTGGCACCTGATCCCCCAGCTGTCTTTGCTGCATCCCTGTGACATTCCTGCCTCACAACCTGCAATGCTTCCAGCGCCTCTTCTTTGGAGATTCCAATTTCTAGAAAAGTCAAAAACATGAAACACTACCTTATTTTTATAAACAGCAATTTATTTGAAGTGTGAAGAGATAATTCAGCTTGTTTGACAGAACCTGAGCATTCTTTTGGGTAACACAAAAATATGAATCCTTTTAGCATAATGATACACCCATCTTGCCAACATCTCTGGAGCTAGTGATGTGATTTTCACAAGAACTCAGAGCAATGATGGCCTGTGTTCAGAATCCAGGTGACAGTAAGCTATCTGCAAATAAAAAAATAGATGAGCAACTCACCTATTCTGCACTGAATGAGCTATCACATTAATTTCATTTGAAGCAAATAAGGTCCTGAAAAAGCAGTCAGGTTGCAGACTAGTAAGTGACAGTGACACCTACTGATCTCACTCTGAATTCTCAGGGTACTGCAGGGCAGAGCACCTTATGCATCACTTCTAGATTTGAAACACAGACTGAGTAACAGACATGAGACACCTGCAGATATCTCTGTGTGTCTGTCTGTACACACATACCTGTCAGGATCCAGCTTTGATCTTCAAGGCAAAACTATTACCACATTTTATCATAGATAATAAAACTACCGATAATCAAAATAACGATACACTTCTTACAGTGGCTGCACAAATCCTATTTTAGTGTCTCAAAAAAGGCAACTTTCTGACTTCATAGAAGTTAGTTTTGTTTAAAGCATGTACAGTTGGGGAAAGAAGAGGAATGAGAGAATCATCTGAGTTTTTCTGTATCCTACTGACAACTATCACTGAGTGTATGAAGGTTCTTTTATGTCAGTACTCTTTTTTTTTTTTTTTTTTTTTTTTTTTTTTACTTATGCACATATGAAAGTCAGTAAATATTTCCTTTGCCCATTTCTCTAGACTCACCTGAGGTCTCCGTGACATTTCTCAGGGGAGCTCCCACTTCATCACTTATCTGCCTAATCCCTTTCATATGCACCCACCACTTAAACAAGCGAAACCCTCCTCAAACCCCACCCTCGCTAACAAGCCACTACGGAAGTCTGGCGGAAGGGAACCGGCCAGGGAAGGGCTGCGGGGAACGGGGACGCCGCGGCCGGCGGGGAGCAGCCCGTCCCCCCCCGCCGGTACCTTTGCTCAGCTCGCAGGGGCCGGTCTCCAGCAGCTCCTGCGCCGTCTGGAAGCCGGCGGCGACCAGCCTGGCCCGCAACGCGGGGGCCAGCGGGAGGCCGCCCACGTCCCGCTGCATCCCGCCGCGACAGGCCGCGACACGGCGCGACAGGCCCCGCCCCCGAGTCGAGGCGGGAAGGGGCAGGCGGCGGCGGCCGCGCATGCGCAGCGGGCGGAGGCGGGAGGCGGGAGGCGGCGGCCGCGCGTGCGGCGGGCGTTGGGTGAGGCGGCGGTGAGGGATGCGCGGCTCGCGGCCGGAGTGACGGCTCTGAAGTTGCAGAAAAAGGGGACAAAAACGCCCCAAAGGGCTGCGGAGCCTGAGCAGCCGAGCCCCAGGAACGGGGCTGGCTTTACCTGCGCACCTGACAGGCTTTAGGGTTTTTTTTTGTCATCCCCTCATTGCCACCTTTCCCTTTTCCTCCTTGGGCAGGCTTGGCCCACGGACAGTCCCTCTTCAGCTTGTCTCACGGGCAGGCCTTTCCTCAGACAGCACAGTTAGGTTAAATTGCTTCTACCCGCCATCTTGGGGTTCATCTGGAAAAAAAGCAGCCATAACTGACTGTCTCAGCTACTGAAGGTTTTGAAGTCAAAAAGCTCTCTGAGCTGTGGCGTTTTGCAGCTTCGTTAGTTCCATGCCTTTTCCTAGCTTTGTTGAGGAAAGAAGATGGCTCATTCTCTCCCTCTTCCAATTCCCTGCCCGGTCCAGCTTGGAAGTATAAAAGGTGACTCCCTGGAAGCTCAGCTGCATGAGTATGTCAGGCAAGGAAACTATGTGAAAGTGAAGAAGCTTCTGAAAAAAGGTAAAAGCTAAGTTTAGACAGGTGCTGGCAGAAAAGTTTGACGTTTTTGTGAATGCTTATATTTGTGGTGGAAAATAGGATGCTGTGTGTACAATTCAGTTTTGTGAGTGAAATGTTTGCAAAATGTATTACAGTTGGCATTTTCTGGTAAATGGTAGTACTTATAGCATTTGGAAGACGATATGAAAATAAATTGTGAAGAAAACGAAGCTTTTAGCTGTAAGGTGGTCATGAGGAAATGAGGTAAAACTGATTCTGCTTTAGGAATATACTCTTTAAATGGGATTTTAACTTCTAATCGCAAAATGCTTAAGGTATAGTATAGATACTGGCTACTTTTGGCACTTAGATTTTTAACTACATGGGAACAGGGACTTTTGTAAATGAAAGCTAATATTTAAAGCAGTTCTGTTTCGGCTGGGCTGCCAAGGCCCTCAGCAGCATCCGCTGTCGGGGCGGGGCGGCCGCGGGGGGCGGTGCGTGCGGGGGGCGGGGCCGCGCGGGGGCTGGCTGAGAGCGGCGCGTCCGATTGGGCGCCGGCTGTTGAAAATGCAAATGAAGAGGCGTGTCCCCGGTGTGTCCCCGCGCGGCCGTGCCGTGGGCGGCGGTGCGGGAGAGTGGGCGGCGGTGCGCGGTTCCGCGGCGAGGGGAGCGCGGGGGGGTGTTGTTGGGTTGTGGTAGGGGGTGGGTGCGGGTGGGTGTTCGTGTGCTGGGGGTGGGTGCGCGGCGGTGGGGCGGCGTTGTCGGGGGTGTGTTGGTTAGGACTATACTTTCAGGGATCATTTCTGTAGTTGGTCACTAGAGGAGAGTGATCGTCCCTGATCGGCGTCACAAGCCACGAGGAGGAGCGTGGTGCTGTCTCCTGAGCGCGAGGCGGGCGGGCGGTGCTGCTGGTGCAGGAGCCGCCCGCCATCGATGACCGTTCCCGGCCCCCTGTGGGGTTCGGGAGGGAGAGAGCACGGGCTGAGTGGTTTGTGGCCCTTCTTTTTTTTTATTCTAAAGTTTTAAAAATAGAGGTTGTTTTTGTGGGGGGGAAACTATTGTTTTTTGCCGGGGGTGGTTTCCTGCGAGCGAATAGTTCCCAGTGGGAGGACCCTGGGCTGCCCTTGCGTCCCGATCCCCGCGGTGGCTTTTTGGTAGCAGCGGCTTTGCGGCCTTCCACGGGCAGGGCAGGTTTAAGCTTCAATATCTGAGGGAATGAAGTTAGTTGTTCAGTGAGAAGAAATGCTGTGAACGGTTGTTAGTAGCTGGGTGTGCAAGCCAGAAGAAGGTGTTCTCGAGCTGTCTGTTGTGCAGATGTTACCAGAAAGTGATAATTAATTCACTCTCTAAGACTCAATTTTGGAGTTTTAGAAAGCAGGCATTCTTTATGACAGTACTGGACACACATGGGATAGCTCCTCCTAATATGTGTGTGTGAAAACAAAATCAACAAGCATTTATACTACCTTAATGATACATATTCATTGCATTTTTATCATACAACATTTTCAGGAACTCATTAGCCTATGTTAACATCTCTTGCGCATGTCTGTTAGAGCCTTCAGGTGGTTGTCGGGGGTCTTTAGATGAAGGCTCATAGTCTTCTTCACTGTGTCTGACAGTTGGCCCTTACTTCTGTGCAAAATCAGTCCTGTGGTCATGTATATCATGTCCTTCAAGGCTGGTCTGGTCTGGTTTTGGTGCTAATTTGCAGCTTCATTATCTTTATGTTTCTTTGCACCTGCTACTACAAGACCCAAACTGTCTCAAGATTGAGTTCCTTATCCTACAGTTATTCTAACTGTTCCTCAAAAAATTAGTATTTGTTCTACAGCACAATGGTTAAATGGTTAAAATGGCTTAAATTGATCCTAATTATTCTTCAGATATCTACTTTCTAATAATCTTAGTTCACAGGTATCACAGGGTAAGGTGACATGGTGGGTGCTGTGGAGTTCTTTCTGATGAACTGATCATCAGAGTAACAAGGAGCTGAAGAGAAACTCCTCAGGCTTCTCATTTCCTGACAAGTTGTGGGAGTCTGTCACTCAGGTTAGACCTGGAGCACGGTAAACCTTTGAGGAGGCTCTGAAGGGGGGTCAGGGAGAAACTGCTGCTGCTGTGGTCTTTATGCCCTGTGCTGCCAGGTTGGCTCTGGGGGCACAGGGCGTCTGCTGGCAGCAGGGGCTGGGAAAAGCTGCACAATATTGCGTTGATGCTGTGGTGTGGATGTCCTTGGTGCTCAGGCTGGGTCCAGAGATTTAAAGGATAGTGTTAGTTACAGTAGAACTCTGTGGGGTTGTTTTAGTTGGTATGTGAGAGACACCTGAGGGCGATGGGCCTCGGCAGCCCCCAGAAGCCGATGCAGCCCCACAGAGCGGCCGGCGAGTCCCGCAGTGCGGCCGAGTGATGGGGCGGAGCACGGACGGAGACAGGCGTGTCTTGTATCGTGAAAACTGCCGCAGCCCGGGCTCGGGTGGGTGTAGCCCGTTTTGCTTGCGAGGCCGCGGCTGTGCGGAGCGTTCCTTGCGTGGGTGGAGGACGGGGCACCGGTCGCGGGGGGGCAGCGAGCGGCTGCGGGGAACGAGGGGCGGAACCGCGCGGGGGCTGGCTGAGAGCGGCGCGTCCGATTGGGCGCCGGGTGTCGAAAATGCAAATGAAGAGGCGTGTCCCCGGTGTGTCCCCGCGCGGCCGTGCCGTGGGCGGCGGGGCGGGAGCGTGGGCGGCGGTGCGCGGTTCCGCGGCGAGGGGAGCGCGGGGGGGTGTTGTTGGGTTGTGGTAGGGGGTGGGTGCGGGTGGGTGTTCGTGTGCTGGGGGTGGGTGCGCGGCGGTGGGGCGGCGTTGTCGGGGGTGTGTTGGTTAGGACTATACTTTCAGGGATCATTTCTGTAGTTGGTCACTAGAGGAGAGTGATCGTCCCTGATCGGCGTCACAAGCCACGAGGAGGAGCGTGGTGCTGTCTCCTGAGCGCGAGGCGGGCGGGCGGTGCTGCTGGTGCAGGAGCCGCCCGCCATCGATGACCGTTCCCGGCCCCCTGTGGGGTTCGGGAGGGAGAGAGCACGGGCTGAGTGGTTTGTGGCCCTTCTTTTTTTTTATTCTAAAGTTTTAAAAATAGAGGTTGTTTTTGTGGGGGGGAAACTATTGTTTTTTGCTGCGGGCGATTCCCTGCGAGCGAATAGTTCCCACTAGGAGTGCTCAGACTCCGGGCTGTGCCCCCCTGTCTCAGGAGCGGGTGGTACTCGGTTTCTCACCAGCCTCTCGGTGCGTTTTCGGCAGTACGGGCTTGCAGGCGGGTTTAATCTTTAATGTCTGAGGGAGTGAAGTTAGTTATTCAGTGAGAAGAAATGCTGTGAACGGTTGTTAGTAGCTGGGTGTGCAAGAGAAGGTGTTCTCGAGCCGTCTTTGCAGGGCACAGTGATGAAGCTGATGCAGCCCCTCAGAGTGCCAGGCAAGGGTGGTGCACTGCTGCTTGGCGTTGGCATCTGGGCCTCTTCTCTGGTGTGTGGGGCAGAGGGAGCATGGACTGAGATGGTCATCGCTGTTACTGTGTCATGAAAACTTCATAACTGGCCCATGCCGTCTGAGGAACGAAACTGGGATGCAAAGTATAGAATTACAAGAGTAATTCTTTATTCATACACGAGGTGCCTGTTCAAACTGCTGAACCCTGGGTGCCTTTTTACACATGGTTCCTACACTTTTCAGGTACAAGATTGTTTGACCTGTCTCTACTTACACACAGAATACTGTTCTGCAAAACAACTATAATCCTGTTTCATTGTCCATCTGGGTGTCCACAGAGTCTGTCCTGCTGCAGTTTCTTATCTGTGATGCCCAATAACAGGAGGGTTTCACAGAAGTGGCAAGGGCGCTGGCCTTTTCTGGTAGTCCAGGGCTAGCTCTTATGCTTCCTGGGCAGCTTTTAAGGTTCTGAGAAATAAAAGTCATTATCTTCAGGGTGGATGCTGTCCTTCTCCTGGCAATGAGCTGGCGTCCTTTAGTTACGCTCACTTGACCGTGACACTGCAGTATGTAATTACACATCCTAACAAAATTCGGATGTTTTTGTACTATAAAGACTAACTGGTACACCAGTTAGAAAATTAGATTTTCCTTACAGCTGTCGAGGAGGCGGCTTTTCATAGCCTCGGGATGACATTGAAGAAAGTGTAGGCTCCTGCATTAGCTGTAACTTGTCTGTGGCTCCGCAGGCCTGGGATCTGGCGTCTCCTCGGGCTCTTTAGCAGTCACCATCCGGGAGATGATGATCTTTGTCAGCGGCTGACAGAGCTGCGGCCACACGAGATGGGGCGGGACGTGCTGTGCTACCGCCAGGGTCTGATTTCTGTTCCCGGAGAGGAAGGAGATGTTGGCGTCGCAGTTATCCGGCCCGGGCTCGGGTGGGTGTAGCCCGTTTTGCTTGCGAGGCCGCGGCTGTGCGGAGCGTTCCTTGCGTGGGTGGAGGACGGGGCACCGGTCGCGGGGGGGCAGCGAGCGGCTGCGGGGAACGAGGGGCGGAACCGCGCGGGGGCTGGCTGAGAGCGGCGCGTCCGATTGGGCGCCGGCTGTTGAAAATGCAAATGAAGAGGCGTGTCCCCGGTGTGTCCCCGCGCGGCCGTGCCGTGGGCGGCGGTGCGGGAGCGTGGGCGGCGGTGCGCGGTTCCGCGGCGAGGGGAGCGCGGGGGGGTGTTGTTGGGTTGTGGTAGGGGGTGGGTGCGGGTGGGTGTTCGTGTGCTGGGGGTGGGTGCGCGGCGGTGGGGCGGCGTTGTCGGGGGTGTGTTGGTTAGGACTATACTTTCAGGGATCATTTCTGTAGTTGGTCACTAGAGGAGAGTGATCGTCCCTGATCGGCGTCACAAGCCACGAGGAGGAGCGTGGTGCTGTCTCCTGAGCGCGAGGCGGGCGGGCGGTGCTGCTGGTGCAGGAGCCGCCCGCCATCGATGACCGTTCCCGGCCCCCTGTGGGGTTCGGGAGGGAGAGAGCACGGGCTGAGTGGTTTGTGGCCCTTCTTTTTTTTTATTCAAAGTTCTAAAACCAGTTGAATTTTTTTTTTTTGTTTTTTTTTTCCTATGTGACTGAAGTTGCAGTGGTTTCAGATCCAGACCTCTCTAGGCTATCTGGTTTCTTTTTAATGCAGAATGGAATTATTTATTTTTAAGAAAATGGGTTCAAATAACAAGATATCAATCTAACTATTAATTACTGCTTTAGAACAATTTGTTTTTTTATTGAAGGGCTCCTCCAATGTTATCCGTGCTCATCCAGGTCAGTACTTTGCCTCTGATATTTATACATACTTTATTTGAAAACATTGTGGACAAGCAGTGCATGGTTTGTCTAGAAAGTCACAAGGAAGGTTGCTTGCTCTTTTTTCAATTCCCATTAATATTAGTACATTTTCATATTTCCAGTACCTCCGAGGGAATTGGCAGTTGGTTTCAGTGTCAATGGGCCGTTGCCTTTTATTCAGGGTGGGAGGGAACAACCACTTGCCTTACAATCTTTTGTTTTCTTGTAGGTATTTTTGTTGATGCTGTAAATTCCATGGGTCAAACTTCTCTCTTCAGTGCTGCATTGCTAGGTCTCAGTAAAATAGTGGATGTGCTGTTGGATTACGGCTCAGATGCTAATCAGTTAAGTATAAAAAATAAATTTTTTTTCTTAAATTGAAATTAGTGTTTAATCTTTCAGCGGTTTTAGTCAATGTAATTCACAATATTCACTGTATATAAATGAACAAGTGCTTAAGATGCATGTTGCTATTTTAGCCAAAGACCCTCAAAGGTAAGTAGGTGCCTGATTTTCCTTATTTCATCATGTGTGTTGTTGTTTGGGAGTACATAAGCATTCTCGCTAAGCTGCTTTTTTACCCCCAGAAGCACAGCAGGTTGAGTGTAGCAGGGGTATTTGAAACATTTCTGCTTCGATCTTCCTCAGTCGCTGCTACGATGGAAGCACCCCAGTCCATGCAGCTGCATTCTCGGGAAATCAGTGGATTCTTAGCAAGTTACTGGATGAAGGAGGTGATCTGAGAGTACACGATAAAGATGGAAAAAGTCCTCAGTACTGGGCTATGTCAGCTGGAAAAGAAAGCAGCGCTCAGGTATGTGTGTGTAATACATGTTGAATATGTGCAAGGAGTGTGTTCAAATCTTCACCTCAAAGTGAAGAAACTCCATTATTCCAGGGAGAAATTCTCTGCTTTTACATGTTAGAACAATTATTGAACATTATTTCTCAATGTCAGTAATGGTATTTTGAAGTCCTCATGGTTCAGATTATTTAACTAAGGTTTTGCGCAGATGCAGGCGCGTGGCATGTGTGTCTGTAACTTGTTAGGACCTTTATGGGTAGGGGTGCAGTGAGGAGAATGACAGGCCCTTGTCTTTGATCCCTGTATGTAGTTTGTTTGCATGCATGTGCAATTCAGGAGTAAACCTTAAGTATTTTTCAAGCATATCTCAGCTTGTGCATGAACAGTATCAGCAAATACATAATTTTTGCTAGCATGGTAGCAAAATGCTGTATCAAGAAGCGTATTCATGACTGGTACAATTTAAAACTCGTAATACTACCATTTCCTGTTATTATGATGCTCCTCAAAAAGAAAGTACAACTTTCAGTGGGTGAATGTCTTGAAAGTTAGTCATCTAGTCTTTGAAGCAAGCTTTCTCTCACATTTTCATGTAATTTATTTTCTTCAAGTTTTTATAGGTATCCATTTCTTGAAATGCTTATTTGAATACTGTAGGTAACGAGTTATTTTTTTCAGTAGTCATGATCTATTAATTTAAAATGGTTTATCTTGCAGTTCTGAAGTAATTTTGTTGGGTTCCCCCCCCCCCATAGATGCTGGAATTTATACAGCGTTGTACATTCCACATGCAGGCTGCCATTCAAAATTTTCCCTCTGATCTACTCAGGAGGGTTGGCTCATCAAAAGCACTCGTCTGCAGTCCATCTAGATTTGGTGGCCTTGTTCAAGGGTAAGAATATATTTGCAAATATTGAGGGATTGAGTTAAAAGGATTTTTATTTTCATGTTCTGTTATATTAAAATTAACACGCTCTTGTTTCTTTTTGATAATACCAGATTTAAAATGAGCGTGTGTTAGGAATGATGATCCTTTTTGTTTCTGTTGTGAGAGCTCCAAATAGAAACTTGATGGTTGTATATTAAGAGATACTCTTGAAATCAGCAATATGAAGTACTGGATTTTAATAGTATGGAAATGGGGGTAACACAAAGTAGTTGTTTTCTTGACCTCCTAAGGTCACTGCAAATCTTTTGGGGGTGTGTTTCCAACCATTTCAGGAGCTCTTATGATGAATACCTGTTAGGAAAAATACATACTTGTGGATAAAAAGCAATGCAGGATGTCGGTGTGTGTGTGTATATATATATATTTTATTATTGATTATCTTGCTTTAAACAAATAACAGTATATCTGAAAAGTTTTAATGAGTTATACAATAACTTGGAATTTCAATATCCGCATTATACTTCTTGTGGGGGGCCTACTCAAGCGCAACGTTTGAAATACACAGACTTTGCGGAATTTCTGCATTTTTATCTCTCATTATTGCATTTTACTCAAAGCCTTGACATATTAATTACTCTTATTGCTTATGTTTTTGATACTTAGAAATGTTGACAGTCCTCTGGGTAGATTTCTAAAAGGTGGAGCTAATGCAGCCAATAACATTTACAGCTTTGGTTTCGGGAAGGTAAGATGCTGTGGATAATGGTTTTCTAATGATACTTGTAGTTTTTCAGAATCTTCTTCACAGTAATTCTTCACAGTAATCACCCCACCTATGTTATTCTTAATTTTTAGTGTGTTCTTATTTCTACTGAAATGAGGGTAAAAAACTGGAGAGGGCAAATACGCAGTTGTCAGTAGACCCTGTCAGAGGAAGCTGGTTTGGAACAGGCAATGGAAACTCTCCTGTTAAATGTCATCTGGGAGAGTTCTTAATGGCTGTTTCTGCTTTCCCTCTTTCAGCTTCACTAGAAAGTTAAGCTTTTGCCTTACATATCTTAACATCTCTTTTTGATGCTTTGGCTGATGCTCTCATTGCAGTGATTGCACTCACATTTTTAGTGAGCTTGCAGCAGATGTGACAGATCTTGGGAACTGTTGCATATTCCTTTTGGTTATACACTGGTGGCGTTTGGCGTTTCAGTTTTATCTTGCAGGCAGCGGGCATCTGGGGTACTTAGCATCTCTCCCTATTATTGGTGAAAAAGATGTGTTCCAGGCAGATGATGAGCCAACATTTTCTTACCATGTTGGACCATATATGATCATGACAAAGTAAGTGCTATCAAAGGGATTTCAGCCTCTCTTAGCGTGTATCTGTTACTATTAAGCAGCAAGTTGTTGTACCAGATGTTTTGTTTGGATAGTTTTCCTTGTCTATTCTATATTCATCCACTGCTTTCTGCTTGCAATTTGTTTTCTGGAGTCCGCTGACTAACATCATCTTCAGGCTCACTTGATACCTGTAGGTTACTCTTGTCCTTTCCAGCAATATTAACCCAATTATGGTTACTCATCAACAGCAGTGTTTCAGTACTGATTCCTTTTGTGGTGGGAAATATGTTGCTGGGAGGTTGCACAGATTGTGGCGTTCTGTGTTTAGTCCTTGTAGTTGTTGGGTCAGACCTGAGGTCTCTGGATATGCCTGCCTTAGAGTCGCAAGTGCAGATGGGGCTTTTTTTTTTTTTTTTTCTCTTTTGTATTGTGTAGCGAGTAGTTGTGCCTCAGAGATATCCAGAAAATTGACAAATTGGTGATTTAACCTTCCCAAAGCTCTGGCTTGTATCACAGTGGGCTGATGGCCTTTAGTGAAAGGAGTTTTAGAGTGTCCTTACTCTTTACCTTGGGTCATGAAAGGGTGGCATCTTTGCACAGCAAACCTGTCCTGCTACATCCAGTCTTTAACAGGATGTGAATTTATTGTCAATTTGAAAGAATATGTGCTATAGGCAGGATCATCAATGTAACGTTATTAACAGTAGGAGAGCATTTCAGAATTACAAAACTATTTGAAGTAATCCTGTAACTGCAAAAAAATACCACAGAAAGCATCTCATAGAAATTCCTCTTCTCCTTGTAGCTTAATGTGGGGAGGCAGCAGAGTTACAGTGAAGGAACTTGGCTTTGAGCCCCATCAGAACTGTAGCAAACTACGCTTAGCTGATCTTCTCATTGCAGAGCAGGAGCATAGTAGGTAAGAACGAACATACAGTAGCCAGAAGTGCTCCTGGGGTTTGGATGTCTCTAGTGATGTGAGGAAATGGGATTAACCTTGGGAGGACTGTTAGGCTGTGGTTGCACTTTCCTCCAAATGAGAAATACAGGTGTCTCTCTTCCTGTCTCTTCCCACTCCATGTGCTCCCCAGTGGATAATACAGAAGATTAAATGCTCTTCTTATATGTCTGGGTGAATTGTTTTGTTGCACATTTCTTGGGTGGCTTATTTTGTGACAGTAAGCACTGTTTCCTAAATGTCTCTTAATCTACAGTTCTTTTAAAATTTTGGGTATTCTAATGAAAAGTTAGAAGCATTCATCTTCTATTGATAAAAACACCTAGAAGGGTAGGACTCTCTCTTTTAATCTCAAATTTGCCTTACAGGTTGTTTGTTTTTTGTTTTTGTTTTTTTTTTGTTTTTTTTCCTCTCCCTTTGCAGTAAACTCCGTCATCCTCATTTGCTACAGTTGATGTCTGTTTGTCTGTCTAGTGACTTGGAGAAAACCCGTTTAGTATATGAAAGGGTGAACTTTGGTTCACTGTACAGCATCCTTCATGAAAGGGTAATTGTAATACTTGTTTTTTAAATAGCGATCAGTTGAGAGGAAGAAGCTTAGTAACTTTACTCAAAGAAGACAAAATCATCAGCCTGTGTATCCTGGTTTCTGTTTTATTCTGGTGAAGTTTGTAACTGACAGATGCTTCAGTTAATGGTTAGGTGCAATTGCATTGATTTTTCTTGTTTGCTGTCGGTCTTAAAATGGCTGCTGTTAAATTCGATTCAACATCTAATCTTCTGCATGTGGTTGTACACTGCAAATGTGGTGACACCAGCTTTTGCCCTTGAATATTTGCAAGTAGTACATTGCAAACTGCCTGTGTATAGAAGTGAAGGCTTGAACTCAGTTTTGGGTTTTTTTCCTCCCAACTGATCTGTGTGTTATTTTTCTCATTCAATATTTTTCTCTTGCTTTTTTGCTGTTGAGTTATTTTATTTCTTTAACTGTTTGAATGCAGACATATAAGTTCTTGGAGAAACTGCAGTCAAAGGCAAGAAATTTGAAGTTTGTTCAGCTTCAGAGTGAATTTTGGCATAGTCAATATCTCTTTTTTAATTACTTTTTAAGGTATTACTAGTTGGTTTGGTATTGAGAACGAACATTATTTAGCACGTGCAATTTGTCTGATTTTTTTACTACAGTATGTTTCATGTTTTCTTTCTTTACCTTGTTCTGTACAATAATAGTTTTCTTCTACATCAAGCTTTAAAGACCTGCAATGCAAATTTGGTACTTCTGGCTTTTTTTTTTTTTTTTTTTTTTTTAGCGTACAGAATTCCCAGTACTGCACATGGAGACGATTTTGCATGTGCTGCTTCAAATTAGCGATGCTTTGCGTTTTCTACACTCCCGTGGATTCATCCACCGTTCAGTTACCTCCTATGCTATTCAGGTTGTTTCTTCCGGTGAGGCAAAGCTGTGCAACCTGGAATACATGATAGAGAGGTAAAGGGCTTCCTCACTGTTTCTGTGAAAGGGACAAATACAAATAAATCAAATTTAGAGCTAAATTCCACAGAAATATCCGTCTTAATGACTAGGGACTCCTGCCTCTGAGTCAGGCAACAGAGTTACAGGAGTAAAGAACTCAGTATGGTAACTTTGCCACAGGCAGTACGGCAAGCTTCAGGTAGACGTAGTTTCTATGTTACAAGTATCTGAAAATAGAAACTAGTAAAAGAAGCAGCTCTTTCATGGAGTGTAAAAATACCATCATAGAGAAATAGAACCCAATCTTACGGAATAGAGATGAAATTCCTTTGACTCGCTAATTCTGCTGCTGAACTGGTAGTAATTAAGTGCCACCATTGAAAAAAAGAGTATTTCTTTTATGAGGGTCCCCATTCATTTAACCCAGGTAAATTATTACTTATATATATATATTTTTTTTTTTTTTTTTACTTTCACATAGTGCAGTCTGATTAGAAAGGAAGTAAATGGTTGGTTAGACTGTAAAGAAGGGGAGTAAAATTGATAATAAACAAAAATCTGCTGATGGCAATGTCCTGAAAGGAGCAAAGATACTTCTTAACCTCCTTGCAAACTCAATTTGTTAATAAATCTTGGCAATTTCTTGGATATTCCAGGTACAGCTTACTGTGGAATGAATAACAAAAAACAACTATAGTTAAATCTGAGGAGGAAGTTATCTTCTAGACATAGGTATAGACTGCAAAGTAAACGTTGACAGGCTAGGTGACAACACCTTGCATTTTGTCCATGGCCAGAGAACACTGGCCACAGCTAAAGAGTTGTTTGTAAAATTTTTATTGGGAAATTTTCAACTTTCTCTGACTTCTTTTTTAGTGTAAATTTGTTATAGGAGGTGTTACATCTTTTCTGTAATGTGCCATAATGCATTTATTGGTTTGAAAACAGTATACATTTTTATGTGCAGGTACACTTTAGACCTTTTAGGTATGTAAACTGAAAGCAGATACAACAAACTCACGTGTTTAATTCCAAAAGATATACCTTCTATTTAAGTGAGCCGTATGTCCCAATTTACAACCTTTTTTCCTTTATACAGCAAAGATGGCGGGGAACACAGTGATCTGACACGTATTCCTGTCCCAGTCCAGCTGTATAAGTGGTGTGCTCCTGAAGTAATCCTTGAAAAAGTTGTCACAGTCAAGTCGGATATCTATAGCTTCTGTACAGTAGTGCAGGAGGCCTTGACAGGTATATCTGTAGGTTTAGGCTTTTATCACTAGGGTAACCCACTGAATGTTTTCAGTGCAGACTGCCAGCCCCTTAATGTCTGTATTTCCCCTGTGTGACTGTGTAAAACCTCATTGTGATGGCTTGCACAGGGTTAACTTGGAAAAGGAATCCTCCAGGCAAGAAACCCAAATGTTAATGACCATAGCAAAGACTACTGGAAACTTTTATAAAATGTAATCAAAAAACTTATAATTGCATTAACTAAAGGATGAGATTAATGGTTGCTGTTAGAGAGATACAATTTTGTGTATGGTGTTTCTCTGCTGTTTATCTTTCTTGCTCATATGAGGACAGCAAAACATTCACTTAATTCTTTGCAACGTGCAAAACAAGCCTGTGCAGCTTTCATCTTTTTCATCACTGTTATAACTTAGAGATAATGTATTGTTATTACAGATAATGTGATGGGTGTTATGTATTGACTTTGACTATTTTGACAGTGAAATGGGATAAACAATTACCTTAAAAATGAAACCCTCTATTAGCTAGTTGGTAATGAAGAATCCAGAGCGTGGTTTACAATATAACTGTCCTCTAGAGATTGCCATCAGCTCCTTTTAAAGCATCCACTGTTGAAATAAGATGGGGAGGAGATGCCAGACTGGACTGAGTGCTCATTTGATTTGTGACTAGTTGTAAATTAGGGAATGTGCAGACAGTAATGCTTCAGTATCTCTCATTCTTTTATCTTTGCTTTTATTTATTTATTTTCAGTACCACTGATACAGAGGTTTTGACATAAAGTCTATATTTATGTCTTGCAGAGACCCCTCCCTGGAAAGGTCTTGAAGATTCAGTTATTAAACAGCTCATAATTTCAGGACAACAGTTAGAAGCAGATGTCAGGCTTCCTATGCCCTATTATGGTATCATAAAGTCAGGGCTAGAGCCTAAACAGAAGAACCGTTCCCTGAAACTTCAGGATATTCAGTATATACTGAAAAATTACTTAAAGGTGACTTCCAGAATTGTAGCCTTTAATGTACTTGAAATGGCAGAGTTTTGTGTCCCTTAGGTGGGAGGCAATCTAAACATTGAGTATCTTTTTCTGATCATGGAGACAAACCACCTTAAAAGAGAATGTAGAGACACTGAACTGTCAAATATAGTTGTCTTTTATTCTGTTTTTTTGTATTACAGGACTTAACTAAGTCTCAAACCGGTCATGTTGATGAAATGTCAAAAGCACAAAGACCTACTGTTTTTGCAGATGTGAACATCTGTTTGCCATCAGCTTTTAGCTACCGGCAGAGAACACTGGAATTTCAGAGTAAAGAGATAACTGTGGATGGTGAGTTTCTTCTAGCAAGATGTCATGTGTCCTTTACTTAACATGTTTCTCAGTCCATACAGGTCTAATATAAATAATTAAAATGTGAGCACTTACAGATTCTATGACAGTTTGAAAATAGACAGCAGTTTTCTTTGGATTCTAGCTACCACCCTACTTGTTAATGTAATCTCAAGACTGTAAGTCTGGTTAATATTTGAAGTTCAGGCATGCTATTTTGAGCAGAGGTGTTAAATGCTGCTCATGTAATCTCTAAAAGACGTTAACTCCTAAATATATGCACGAAAGCAGTGTGCTTGATGGACATCTGAAGAAATGACTTAACGCTTAAAATCAAATTTTCCAGGCAGCTCTATTGCCTCAAGATACTCGCTTTTTCCTGAGGAGAACAGTGCTTCAGTGGACCAAGAGGTATCAACCAATCTCCAGCCAGTTGCCCAGGACAAAAATAGTGATGTAGTTTCTGAACTCCAGACAACCCTCAGTGTCAGTGATGTGGATGACAGCCTCCGTAGCTTTGAAATCAATGAAATCTTTGCAAGTTATCCAGAACTTCATGAAGACTTCCTGGAAGAAGGCACTGGATTAGGTCCAACTCTAAAGGATGAAGAAAGGCAGCAAAAGGAAGAAGATAAGGCTGCCCCGAGAGATCTGTATGTGTCCCCTGAAGTGCACTGTGAGGAACAGCTAGGTTATGAGGAAAGTGGCTTTTCAGAGTCGAGTACAGAGTACACTACAGAACAGGAGGAGAGTGTGAGCAAGGCCTCTGAGCTGTGCATGCTGGCACAGGTGAGAGGAGATGCTGGGAGGAGAACGAGTAGTCTGTCCCAAAATGAGCAACACATCAGCAAATGTGTCCTTAATTTAAAAATTGTTCAGAGCATGTTGCAGCAGGCAGCAGATTCCCTGTGCAGAACAGAGGAGAAACTGGACAAATTAGAGGCCACTGAAAAGCAAAAGAAGCTGCTCCAGGAAATCAGAATGAATCAGCTTTCCAATCAAATTTTTCAAGAAAGACACTGGAGCAGATCTGATGATACTTCCCAAAATACCGGTAACGCTTTTTCTGGAGTTAATAATTCTTTCTGGAAGGCTGTAGGTCCACCATCAAGTGACTATATTCCACCACAGATAATACATCAGCCACAAGGAGCATTGAATGGAGACAGTTTCCAAGCTGTTTCAAAGACAGCAGAGGAAATGGAGGTAATTCAAAATGAAAAGTGGAAATACTTTCATGAGATGAGTAAGAGTAAAAATGAAAACAACCATCGTGATCTCAGCTTCAGTGAGGTGAAAAGCCTCAATGATCAAATGAGCCTAGACCATGAGGTAAAGCGTTGAGCAGGGTGACTGTGTTTTATCACTTCTGTATTCCTTAGCAGGTAGAGAGACGTAGTTATGGATGGTGTACAAAAGGAGGGATGAATCTGTCTTTTAAAATACATGTCTACCATATTTGTTATATATAGGAATGAAAATAGTCAACTCAGCAGTACAGTAGAATTCTATCTTTTTTTCTCCCTCCCCTGGCAAAACACTAGTCCAGTGGCTCAGGAGGGAGTAAAATCCTGTACTAAAATGGAGATTGTGGGACTGTCAGGGAAAAGGGCAAGCAGAGAGGAGGTCTAAACTGTCATTAGTAAGGGCTTCTAGATAATTTTCATTATTAAATATAAGTAGTTGACATGCTTAGCCCAGAGAGAAAGAGAGAAATTAATGTACATATCTGCTGTAGGAATAATCTTGAGTCATTTAGGTTCGCTCATTCCCCTGGGAACTATGTGTTCTGATAGTCTGCCTGCGTGCGTATGAAACCTGCTATAAATCCAGGGCAGAGTTTTCACTAGGCTAAGGCCTGGAGTTGTCATCCTTTCTCATGAGCAGTGCTACAAAAATGCAACCTAGGGAATAAAGTTTGCATGGTCCAGTTCTTAGTATAGCTCACAGACAGCTCAAATTTAGTAATTACCAGAATGCCCGACGCATGCTGAATCATGGCTTGTTGGACTCATTTCAGCATTTACTCCCACGTGTATCTGTAAGATGCAAAAAAAAGTTCAACTTGCAGTGTCAGAGAGGAGGTGATTCACATTCTGCAGCAAGTGGAAGTGCAGAAGAGAGGTGGTGAGTTTTGATTGTATTCACAGAAGAGTTAATTCTAGCAGATTCATCTTGATACAGCTACTGTCAAAAGTAGACACATCCAGGATCAAGGATGGCATTAAATGTTTTTTCAGTAAGCCAAAAACCATCTGTCCAATTAGGACTTTACTGTGAGTCACTGTCAGCTGCAGAGCTGATGGGGTAATTGCTGTGACAGGGCAGTTACTTTAAAGAGTGGTGTTCAGAGAGATTCCAAATGTCTGTCTGATGGAGGTCAGTGGTCGAAAACTGTAGCGGTGCTTAAGGAGAGTAATCTCATAAGTTACTAGTAGGTTTGTTCTCTCTGCGCAGCCTCATTCAATTCTCAGTAGAAATACTTTGGTTTTCATAGGTGTAGGACTATGACCTATGTTAGGTCCTGTGGGAGTAGAACAGTCTTGCTAGACCCAGGGACAGCAGAGCATACCTTTCTTTGTTATGTCTGCTGTGCTTTTTAATGTTGTCCCTTTGTATTTCTAAGTATGGGTGGAAAGTACATATTAAAAGTACCTGGCAAAACTTGTGCAAATTTAGGTATCTTATTAGTTGGAAAGATGGGGACGTGCACCTCCTTCGATGTTTGGGTCAAATTAGCTGGGAAAACTGTTGCCGTTTTAAAGTTGATTCATGACGCGGTTGGATCAACAAGACCCGTTGGTGAAGGACATACTTGGTTAGAACATAAGCATGCTGGTGTTGGCATGTGGTTAGATGGTCAAGTGAGTGAACTCTAGGTTGGTGAATTGGGTTGGTGATAGGATTGTAGTTATGCAGGTCTGAAGTTCTCAAAATCAGTGGACAACTAATCACGTTCCTGACCTGAATAAAACACATCTACACAGCATTCATTGTCTGTTAGTGTTTATACAGATACATCATCTGAAGGCAGTTGACAGTGTTTGAAATCTGGCTTCTAATGTACAGCTTGCCTGGTTAATCTATAACAGACCTAAATAACTGTCTGTGCTTTCTAAGCTTGTGATGGCTCAATCTGCTAGTTCTGTTGGGTTCTTAGAACATGTGTGCTCTCAGCCTTTTAATTAACATTAAACCAACTTCTAGTCTTTTACTGACTGGAGAATACTTAACACAGTACACTTGTGCATTAACAGGGTTTGATGCATTTCATAATGGTTTATTATAGGTGCTATCCAAAATCAAGATCTGAAATATACAGTACAAAAGTAAGTGAGGAGAGAAGGATGCGGTCAGAATGGAGGAGTAAGTAAATCTGTGTTAACTCAGCATTAACCTTAGCAAGTCTTACCGCAGTGCAGTGCATTAAAACTCAGCACATTTTGTTACTTAAGAAAGGCCTGTGTGCCTTAATGGCTGAAGCTCTATTAGGCTATTCTTGGATGAAAACCAGATGAGTAGGTTCCTGTGTCTTGCACATTCAGGGCATAAAGTAATCACAGCCACACTAAGATGGTTTGATTATAAAGCTCATGGAATTTCTAGCCCTGTTTGGGAGGATGTAAGGGCAGGACAACATATGAGTTTAGAAGGGTAGTATAGCAATGTCCAGTGGATGGCAGTACAGGCATGAAAACCAGAGAAGGCAAACTAACAAAAATTGTTCTTGCAATGACTCATCCATATCAATCTATATAGGTTTTAAGCTTTCCTTAAAATGGAAGTGTTTAGCTCTTTTCATGATAAAGGCAGTAACTTTGGCATTTTTAAGTCTGCAGACACAGGGAATGCTTTGAAGGTCCAGATTCTATTGTGTGAACTGGTAATTTTACTCTTTTTGTGTAGCTGAAGTAAAACAAATGGCCAGAAGAGTGGCCTCAGGACAACTGGAGCTTGGCTCTCTATACCCCGCCAGTGAATGTACATCTGAAAGTGAAGCAGAGAGTATAAAGGAAGCCTTTCAACATGTCACTGTTAGAGATCAAAAAAGTCAAGACCAACAAAGATACAGGTGGCAGACAGGTGGTAATGTTGAGCCTTGGGATCTGGGCAGTGAGGATAGATCTGAATCTGAGGAGAGTGATGTGGAGTCTGCATTCAGAAGTCCTGGAGGTAAGGGTGAAAAACAAAAAATAGTTTATTTTTTTGTCTATTTCTATATCCCAGCAGATTTCAGCTTCTGTGATTTTATTACAATAATTGTCAATTTTATTTTCCAGAATTTTGCCCCCAAAGCAGGTCACTCACTCAGTCACTGGTGAACAGAAATAATAGACTAAATTGAATATTACATGTTAATAGGTGGAGGTCACCCCCATGAGCAGGGAGACCCTTCGTTGTCATTGATTACCATGTATCATCATGGGAGACCCAAAGCTTTCAGTGCTGCAGGTATGCTTTCACACTTTATTTCTTTCAACTGGACTGTAGGGATGCTTTTTATGTAGCAGCATAGTGGGTAGTGCTTTTCTAGTAGCTATGGATAAAGGAACAAGGAAAGCTTTACATGCCTAGATTAAAAATATTAGCATTTAAATGTCATTATTTCTCTGTGTTCCTGGCAGACAATGTAGTTTCTCTGTCTGCTCTCATTGACATTCTATCAGAGGTTCAGATCACTGCATATTATTTTTTGCCTAATTATTTTGTACCATTTTGACATCCTAGAGAGAAGTTGCCCAACATCATCACAAGATGAACAAGCAGAGTCTGGAATAGCCATTCATAAGGATGCAGTCCTTCCCCAACAAGTTGAGAATCTCTCTAGAGTATGTATAGTAATCCAAGAAATCTAGTTGCAGCTAGTTAACTGTAAAAGAGTTTAGCGTGATCTCTTCATGTTGCACACTGAACTACCATGACAGCTGATCTTTTCAGTTGTGATCTAACAACCCTCTGTCCTCCCCTCCTCCATTTTTTTTGTTTGGTTCTGTAAACCATAAAGGTACTGTAAAGAGTGGATTGAAAATCAGAGTGATAAAATTAAACATAACTTCAATTTGATGCAGTATTATTTAACATTATTGACTAAAATCTATATTCTTTAATAGAGAGTGTAGAAAGCATCTCAAATAATGTCTTTCACAGGGGCATTCAAGGGAATTACATTGTTCCTTTAATTCATCTCCTGATGTGTCTGAAGAATTCTTGACTCCTGATCCTGGTTACTTCATTCCTCCTACTAAGGGAAGTTCAGAACTAGAGGTAAAAATAACAGAAAAGACAAGAATGAAGTATGTATCAGGAACTTTGGATGTAAGTTATATAACATGGTTTTATTACGCTCCCATTTGATTTGAAGAAGAGCTGTAGGAAATGGAAGAATTGACAATTTTTATTCTTTTCATTTGAAACAATATCTACAAATAAAGATTTATCTAAAAGTAAGAAAATTCTAACCCCGTTCCTTTAAAACATACCACCCCCCCTGAAAAAAAACACCACAAAACCAAACAAATAAAAAAAAGCAAAAACAAAAAAAGCACACACACACACACCCCAAAACAAACAAACAAACAAACAAAAACAACAAAAACCAAACCAAACAACTACAATCCCACAAACACCAAGACTCCCAAACCACCAGGGGCATGTTTTCTTAATTTGTTTACTAGGAAATTACATAATCTGTGACTGAGAAGTTTTAGGCAGTTGATAACCTCAGCCTTTCCTTCAGAGCTCTATTAATTATAGTACTCAGTAGTCTTAAAACAATCTTCATTTCTTCAGGAGTTTAAACTATTGTATAGACTATTAAATCCAGTCCATGCTGTTTGCTGATAAGCTCTTGAAAAGTTTGTGTCTCCATTCAGATGATTGTGAGCATCATCCTGTGAGAGTTGTCCTACTCTTCACAGCTTGCCTGTGAGAAACTGACTTAATTTTCCTTTTTTCCCCACCTTCAGACCTCAGTTGCTGAGGGCAAATTAGAAGATGCTTGTGAAGGATTTTTACAGAAACAGTTAGCTGATGATGCAGGTTCAGGTCTTCAGGTTTCAGGTAAATGTGCTTTTTCTTTTGAAGGAACTTTTGAGCGAGGGAGACAGAGGCTTGTTGCACTTAGATTTTTGTCAGCGAAGGCTGGAGCTTGATTATTCAGGATCACTTGGTCTCTTATTGCTCATTATTGTAGTGTGAGTTCAGGACGCTCAGGATTTTGGAAGATGAGGTTTGGACATTGCAGTCACTGAAATATTGTTGAGTGTGATGATCATGTACTTGCTGACTTGCAGTTAAAAAAACCCAAACCAAAACTTGTTTGCAACCATTTTGTTTTTATCCTAGGGCTGAGTTTAATCTTTTTATACAACTTGCTGTGGTGCTAGAAACTGAATGAGAGTTGTATTTACACAATAATATTCTTACTGTTTTTAAGCTCAAGATCCTTCTAGCAATAAGAGCTGACATTGTATGCAGAGTAGTGGAAGGATCATCATTGTTTCTCTAGTCTGTTGCCTCTCTCTTAGCTCAGATTTGTAAATGTTGTCATATTCCCCAGTGCTTCAGTGTTTGACTGTCTGGCAGCTGTGGCATGTTTATGAAAATGCATCTTTAAAACACATTTGTCTCTCAACAACAACAAAGGTCACAGGAACTACAAAATGTAATAAAGTTGTAATTTCCTGTTCAATGAGTTGTGTTGCTTTCTTTTGTACTCGCAAAACCCAATAACAGGGAACATTTGTTATTTGTATTCAGGAGGAAAAATACTCTTCAGCAGCACGGTGGTGCAGAACTCTGGCCGTAACACACTAGGAGTTGATCAACTTAGCCATATGCCTGTAGCCAGGTAGATAGACTTATTTTTGTTATTTCAAGCATAAAGTGAGTTATAAAATGTGCTGTTTATTTGAATATGAGATATGTAAGTAGAATTAATAAGATGCCAGTGTTGTTTTTAATGATTATCTACATACCATAGTTCCTTGCTAAGAAAATACTAAAAGGACTTTCACAAGACTTACAGTTTTGTCTTTTACAGTGTTCAGGTGTTTGGTTTTTGTTTGTTTTGCTTAAGGAAGAAGCTAAAACAGGAAAAATAAGTCATGTATATATTACAATTCCTTTTACACTGATAAACTGCAGTCTTAAACAGAGCGAAGATAATTTAAATTAAAGCTTCAGTCATCTGTTTTAATTTTGTTGTGCTTTGGTTTTGGAGCTCAAGTGGCATGAAGATCATGCCTTTTCCCCTCCTGTGGGAACAGTCTCATGCAAGTATGCTCACTGTATCTTGCCTGCAGATAGCATTAGCCCATGCTTGGAGAATCGCAGTCTCATCTGTCAAACGTGAGGTGTTGATCCAGTGTTTTAAGTTTTATGTTCTACTAGTATGAAGAGATGTTGGCCAGAATCACCACTGCATGCTGCAAGGGCTCCTTTTGCTTAAAAAGAAACAGTCCTCACCCTGAAGGTCTTTCAGCAGTGGCTTTCAGGCTTCTTAAAAGCCTCTGGCCTCTCTCCTGTAGCTTAGCTTTCTTCGTGTTCTCCCAGAGTTAGCAGCTGCCCTCTTTCTCCCAGTGCAGCAGTGAGAGCTGCTTTTACTGTCAGTGTTGTACTCCCTTCTCTCCACTGGAGGAAATGAGTTACCAGTGTCAAAGGCAGGCAGCAAGCGTGTAAATACTTGCCCTTAAGGTAGAAGGTAATGGTTTTAGTCGCTCCCTTCACTTGGGAATTGAGTTTTTGCCAGCAGGACAGAGGACTGTTGCTCTCTGACCATCTGACTGGTTCTATTTGAATGCGTCTTTGACCTTGACTGGGGTTGTTTGAGAGAGCAGCTTACAATGCAGACCAATCAAGGGATGATAAAACAATGAAGTGATGTATATTTGCAGATTTTTATTTAACTTCCAGTTTTGGTTTGAAACTGCATATGTCAATTCTCCTTACTGGATACAAATCCATAATATGCTTAAAATAGCAATTTTTTCCTAGCACTCTCCATTTTCTAAGGTTTTAAGCAAAAATTATTTATAAGCTGCAGTCTTCCTCAGAGAGAAGGTAGCCCTTTAAACTTTTTGAGAGAGAGGAAACTAAATACATTTATTTTCATAGTTCTCTGAGAGAATCAATGTATATCACCTTTCTTCCCTCATTCCAGTGTTGGAGCAGCACAAGAAGTGATACCCTGCAAGCCACAGGAAGAATGCAGAGAAAAAGATGTGTAAGAGCCACAGACCATTTTATATCAAAACTTCGGGAAGGTGGTCATTATCATTGTAGAAGTTTTGTGGTGATGCAGAACAGGAAGATGAGACAGACCAATACTGAAAGAGAGAAAAATATCTGAAATACTGAAATAATACTTTCTTGTGATAAATTGGGTGATTGATGTAAAAGAGCTATCATATACAGTTGTCCTTTGTTTGAAATATTTTAATATTCATAAGTAATTAATTTGGTGTCAATCCAGGTGTGCTTCTTCACATTAAAGTGAAGTGTTAGGATTTCTTGTTTCTTCTGTGTAACATGGACAGAAGAAATAAAATTATTTTAAAGAGCAAATCATTAGTATGTAACTAAATAAATTTTATCACAAAAATAGTCTTGTGATTTTGATTCTCAGGAAAAATTTGCAGAATAGGTTTGTGACTTTACTAGTTACAGGCAATGGAGATTTGCACAAAAATTACTGATTTGGTAACAGCAGATGTCTGTTCAGTTCATGGTCTTCTGAGGACAATGTAATCCAGGGTGTATCTGCAGAACATGTTGGTTTGATTAATATAATCCCAGTCCTACTGCCACTTAAGAATTTCTGTAACTTTAGTCGACATCACTGCTTGCACAGATCTTCAGCAGTTTCAGTTTATCTGAGTAATTCTTTTAAAAGCTCCTAAGACCTATATATGGTCTTAATTAATGGACAGTTAATTTTGGTAAACTTTGAGGTCTTCCCTTGGCTGTGGAGAGAGTTTTTATCTAGTGGTTCACATTTTAAGTTCTTTCCCTTTCTGGAGACAGTTTCCTGAGCTTGCTTTTGTGGGAGAATTATTAAAATTAAGAAATGCTGTAAAGGAAGGGAAAGCAAAACAACTAACCTTTTCTGTCTCTGGAAGAGTATTGGAGATGGTGATCTTTAGCCTTCCAAGAATTCTGTGGGAAGATTTCAAAGGGAATGTAACTCTTCCTTCTGGAAGAGTAGATAAGACTGAACATAATTAAAACTTTACCTGAAAACAGCAGAATTTATCAGTTCACAAGTGTAAGAAGTGGCTATTCTAATTGTCAGAACATCTTTCAATACTTCAGATCGGTAACAGATATTCAGGATTTGTCGAGTATCCCCTGTGAGCAAGAGGACTACTGCAGGGATATAGATTGTAAAACGCCCAGAGCGAGTCATGCACCAACGAGCTTCAGCACTCCACTCAGCTCAGGTAACTGCAGAGAGGGAAGAAGGAAGAACCAGTGAATTACTTAACCTTCCTATGCCAGGAGTCAGACCTTTCTGCCAAGACTTGCTAATGTAAAAATCATTGATGTGAATCATGGAAACTCCATTCACGTAGTACCAATGCAGAAATGTCAGGCTTGGAATAAGTAACCCCAGGAAATGCTGTACCTGTTCTTTGAAATCTCACTGTTGTGGTCTGGATAGTTACAGCTTTGTATCTAGAGCCTGCTTGGTCAAAAGAAATCCCTGACATAGAACTAAAGGAGAATTTACAGGGACACAGCTGAAAAAGCCACTATCTAAAGAGTCTCTGAAAGATAATTACATGGTATTTAGCAGTGGCCTTCATAAATCAGAAATTGTTTTAGTCCTTTAAAATTGATTTGGAGTGATGCATGTAGATTTTAGCATTTTAACGACAATGTAATAAGCACTTAATATGTTTTGAGTGTTGACAAAGTAATCTCAATGTTTGTTGAACTTGTTTAAGAGCAATGAATTATTATTTGCTTTGTACTTCATTAATTTGGTGTAATACGGTAGTTGAAATTTCTCACTTGGCGAAGTTTTGCATAAATAATGTCAGAGGTGGAACCCCTAGGTAATCAGCTTGCACTTCTTTTTAGAGATCATTTATGGACAACAATTTCTTAGTTTCCTGTGCTAGGTGCCTGTTGAAGTACAAGAAACCCTTTTCTGCTAAAAAAAAAAAAAAATCCAGCTTTGCTATCATCTTTTTATTTTCTTTCTTTTTTTTTTTTTTTTTTTTTTTTTTTTTTAATTCTAGAAGAAAAAATTCCAATAGCCTTTGAGAAATACAAACACTGCCATGAAGTAGCTTCAGATTCTTCCTTTTGTGGTTCTCAAGAGATCTCCTCCGCAGTGTCCAGGACATTCACTACAGCCTATGAAGAGGGAAGGAGCACTGAAATTCCCTCGGCTGCTTCAGGAGTTTGCTCATCTGAATTGAATGAGCCTGTAAGTCTAGAAAATTTACCTTATGCCATCCCTTCTTTAAAATATTTTTTAAAATACTTTTCCTTAAAATAAGTAGATGTGAAGCACAAAAGTACTTCTAGGTCTTTGAGTATTTTGGAATCCTGGATCTGTTGACATAATGACAAAATTTCTGATTGATTTCAAAGCAGTCAGTGCGTGCCACTGATTATACAAAGAGTTGGCTTCCCCTTGGGCCTAATCATGTGTAAATGTTGACCACCATCAAAGTGGTCTTGCCTGCCCTCCATCCCTTCCGCTGACTGTAAAGAATTGCCATTTCCCAGCATTGGGATGTGGTAATCTTGGAACACCAAAGTGGTGGTAAGTATCTGCAAAATGGTTGGGTAGGAAAGATGTGGTTTTGTTGGGAGAAGGGGGGTCAATCAGTTGTTCTGGTGAGGCAACAGCAAGCTGCTTTTGTAAACCACTCTAAATTTACAAGTGATTTGTGAACTATAGGGTTTTGACTATGTGGAAGCAGGGAATAAAATTTAATGAAAATAAATGTGCGTGTGGGGAATAAAGTTTAATGAAAATAAATGTGCATGTGTGTTCAAGTACATAAGATTTCATGTGAAAGTGCAAGAATTCTCAAACCTTAGTGGGGGAGGTAAATGAATATGTAAATGAGTGATTCTTTGAGGAGGAAGACTAAGCTGGAAGCCTTCATGTAGTAGTTTGGAAGCAAGTAAACTCAGAAAGCCCTTGTATTAGGGGATTAAGTTTGTCCTTTTTATGCACAGATGTGATGTAATCTTATCAACTTTGTTGTATCAAAAAATACTCTCTTTGGAGTTGACAATTTCCAAGGTCACTGTAGTGATTTCCAGTAATCTTTCTGGAACTGAAGGTGTTCTGGAGCCACAGCATTATCTTAACTGTCTTTTCAGACAGTTATATATAAAATAGTTGCCTGTATGCCTTTCTTATTGTTACTCATTGATGGGGTTGTCATTTAAAGATTAAATTAGAGTTTGTTCAACCAGAACAGTAGCGACTGCATTCATTGTCATCAGGTTAGGTCTGTGTCTTTCTCCTTGTGTAGCAGACAGTTGGAATTCATTCAGCCCATTAACAGTGCAGTGCTGCCTTGCCTGGCTTGACAGAGGTATTTGATTGTGTCACTTTCTTGTCTAAATCTTATTCTAGGATTAAGTGCATGAAGCACCTGTTTCTGTTTTGAGGATAGTGAGGACTTGACAGTGATTACAAATTCTTGATTTTTGGGGGCTCCTTTTGTGAATAGGTCTGCTTGGCTCTAATAACTAAGTAATCAAAGCAGAGACTGGGAACTTAAGAGATGTTGGAACTGTTCCTTCAGAGAATTCCTGTCTTAGTTGTCCACACAGAGTGTTGAAATAGATAAAGATTATGTAGCTGACAGTATCTTATGGCCGGCTAAGAGATGAGTGTGCAGCAGCCTAGGCAGAATTTTTGGTGCATTTGGCTTACCTGGATGCTACCTCTGTTTTCATATTCTGAACTGATTCAAGAGCTTATTTTGAAATTTAAAATTTAATGGTTAGCTAAGGCTTTAACTAAGGTCTTACCTCATACTGGATTCGGAATACTGAAGGAGAGGATTGAAGACCAGCAGTTTACTTTCTTGTGTTTCATTCTGTATGATCTTACACAGGATAGGCTGCCAAAAGTTGCTTCATGCTTGAGAAGCACCAGGAAGCCATCTGGTAAGTCTCCTAACCCAGCCCCAACCCAAATAGAATGATCAATAAAGAGAGAAACAGATTTGTAAATAAATTTTGCGCTTTTCCTTCTCCCTCCTCCTTGTTGTTTTTGTTGTTTTTTTTTTTTTTTTTTCTTTTTTACACACGCACCCCAACCCTCCCGGGCATCTCTCTTTTTATAGGTATAAATAGCTTCACACACAACTGTGTATTGCTAGTCGTAACTAGGTTATGGATTTTGTGTTTGCACCTGCAGACTAAGAGCTCTGACCTCTAATCAACCTATGTTTGAAGTGTAAATAATACTGGCCTAAAATCTGCAATACAGGATTGAGAGCTGAATGTGCAAGTCTAGCTCTAAATGGTTTTTCTATTATGAAATTATTTAAATATTTGATAAAATGTGAATGAGCCAGGCTCGTGCAGGTTGATAAATGAAATATGTCAGCAAGATTCTGTCATAATGTAAACCTATATCACAGTTATTAAGGATTAATCACTGCTAATTAACTAGACTCCTTTTTTTTCTATCTCAGCACTCTCACAGCCATCTAACCAATTCACTGATGAGCTGCCTCCACCAGCCCAAGAGCTGCTGGATGAAATTGGTAAGAGGCACTTCAACCAAAATGGTATGAGGCTTGCCAGCTGTGTTCAATCAGGATTTCTCCCAAATCATTCGCTACTAAAATACACAAGAGCTTCCAAATTAGTTGCGGTCAGGTCAATGATTAGGAAGTTAGGCATCAACAGCTTAAATAACTGGCAGTTAAGTTAGTCCTCGAAGTTTCTGCATTTTGTGTAATGGTTAGTTGCTGCTGCTGACAGCAGCTAGCTTATTGAGTGCAGATATAATTTAACAATGAGATGAATTCTGTGTAGACTGAATTTTTCAAAGATGTCCTGGAGCAATGCATGTTCTCCATTAAAACGAATGCAAGCCAGGCAGCTTCATCTCTCAGGTATTTTTACAGAGCTTAGTCTCAGTGATTTATGGTTTTTTTTGTAATCACATACATCTTCAGACAGAACACAGTGCAGGAACTCTGCATTGTTTTTACTAGTGTGTGTTACAGAAGAATTTGCTTTGCTTCAACTACAATATCTGCCTAAACTAACACCAGGCATTGGGATAATCAATTAAGTCCTATGCTCTTTTAGAAATGAGGCACCCAGACACATTCTAATCTTCTTACTTCCTCATTCACCAAAACAAGGACATGTGGAGACTGGCATCAAATGAATAAATGATGGTCAGAGACAACTCATAGGATTAATATATGAACTAATTTTAGATTATGTAAGTTTTCATCTGGGTTTGGATGGATAAAGTAATGTGGTACTTTAGATTGCATAGAGTATATATATCAAATTTAGAAAGAGTATATATATCAATAAGGAAATATGCTGTTTTTAACAGAATATTTAAAGCAGCAAGATTCCCTCACTCAAGACTTTAAAGAGAAGGGATTGTGTGGCTACGGAGTGCAAATCAATGGTTAGTTGATCATAGTGCTAATGTAGAGATTACAAATAGAAAATCACCCTTACATTGCCGCAAAATTACTCTGAATACTTGTCACTGTATGTACAGCTGTATGATAAACTTCAATTTTTAGCTTTTTTTGGTATTGGTGGTTCAGCTGAAATTTGAGAGGATCTCCCTTTCTTGGTGAGGTTATATGCAAGGTTTTTACTAATAGTACCCCCTTCCACCAGTGTTTGCTGTCTTTCTCTGGGTAGTCATGCTCTAAGGTCTGTGGGAATCTGATATGGAAGGCTTGCAGGTCTGAACTATCAGAATTAATCTTGTACTTTGTTATGCCACTGTAATGTATGCTGCGTTCAAACACAAGTGACAAAACCCCCAAAAGGATAGATGGTAGGCAGCTGATGTAAAATAGAGCTGAGGTTTCCTTGCTGGGAGAGTGGTTCAGCTGAGAAAGTGGACAGTGCACACTAACTGCTTAAGTTTCTTATTCACCATAATGAAATAATGTCTCTGATCTCATAGTGTAAGAAAATAGCATCCACTGGGGTAATCAATATTATATTTCCTGTTCTGTTACAGAGATACCAAAGATAGCAGTAGTGAATCTCTGTGCTTCTGAAACTGCAAATAGTAATAAGTGGGAATAATTTTTAGATGTACTGCAAGTAATGTCAGAGGAGCAGAAAACCTAAATCTTTATAGGCTCTGCATTTGTTTCCAATGAGTCAGAAAGTGAAGAGCCATTTTTTAAAAAAGAAAAGAGACAAAAAAAGAAAAAAAGGCGCAACATGAGTTAGTCTGTAAAAAAGCTAAATAGCATAGTCACTCGAGAATGATACTGGCGCTTGTTTGTGTTATCCTACAGCTTTGTTAGATCTTTTCCCAAAGGAGAGAAGCTACTGTGACTTTATTCATAGGAGTATCTTGGTTTTAGGTGGTAAGGAATGCAGCAGCCTGTATTGCTTGCTGTTCAGTCACTGTGGTTTTGTTGTATTTGCATAAAGTACAGCTATTTCAGACTCCATTTTTGTGACAGCCTACTGCTTCCTGCTTATCATAGCTTAGCAGAAGGTGGCTGAATATATTCACATGCTGTAGGGAAAAGAACTTACTGAGATAAGTCTTGGGGGGGACATCATTGAATTTTGCTAAGTAGGGTAACAAAGCTAACATCCACAGGTTTTCTTTTGATTTTTCTCCCATATCTAGGATTGTAAGGGGAGAGATTAAAGATTAATTTCCACATGCATTTTTCATTTTAGTATGAAGCAAAATGTTCAGTCCTGTGAATCTAAAAATGTGCTATAGTAAAATATTTATCTAGGTCTTGCTACTGGCCACCTTTGTAGGTAATGTGAATTTGCTTAACGGGTAGAAAATCAGATGACTGCGGAAAGAATAATTGAGAAGTGGGCAACTGGAAGTTCCTCAAGTACAGTGAGCAAAAACGTATTTTAATTTCTTTATTATCTTCCTTCATACCTTTGATATTAAAATAATTTTGTTTATGTGAATAGTTCCCGATCAAATTAAAGTGGAAAACGGAGAGTCAGAAAAAGAACCTGAGAGAAATAAGAAGAGCAATCATAGTTTATGGACTAAGGAGTCGTTTAATCTAACAGAGGAAACAGAAAGGTATGAACAAAGGCATGTTTGGCTTTGAGTTACAGAGCTTTAGAGTAGTGGTTCCAGCATATTTTAGCAAGATTCAGGGCTTACTGTAAGCCAGCTTTAAGAACCCTGATAATTATGACTGTTTTCTTTCAAAATGTGTAGTATTTAACTTGCCAGCATCCATCTTAAATCTTTTATTTGACAGGGCTCACTCTACTCTTGATGATATTTTAGAAAGAATGCTGCATGCAGTTCCTGGAGATGAGGAGATCCAAGAACCACCTCAGGGACACACTCTTGGGTTAGCTGATAGTTGATACTTTGTTCATAAGTCTATTTTGCTTATGTTCTGTGTACAGACCTATGCAGGACTTTTCAGAAAATGGGTTGTTACTCCTTAGAGAGTAGTGTGTCAGGGAACTTGCCTGGAGACATCGATCTGAACTCTCCATACTAAACTGAGAGGGAAAAGAACGTTTTGTTAATATAATTTCCTGTAGGTGGAAAGCAAATATTTCAATAGGCTTGGAAGGCAGTGCATAGTCTTCACAGAAATCAGAGATGATTTGACAGAATGGTGTTGGAGAAGAATGTACATTAAGAGAACAGAATCATGAAAGCCTTTTAGAAAAGACTTTAAAGAAGAGTTTGGGAAAACGGTTATAGTGTCACGGCAATATAGGAAGAAATTAAGAAAATGGCAGAAGTCATATATACATCACTTTAAGGAAAAGATTTATAGCCCAGATAGCTTCTTTCCTCATAGAACTAAAGATCAGAGCCTAGTAACTCTGAACCACTCCACAGTAAATGCCAGTGACTACTCATAAGCCATTCCTAACATATATTACCAAGGAACACAAGATACTGTTGTGTTTGGCATTGGGATTTTTTTTTTTTTTAATTGAACACAGAAGGCAAATTCATGATAACCAGGAGGATCTTGCCAACAGGGCAGAGAGATTCTTGCAGTATATATACTGCCATGTTCATAAATGGCTGATCCAAAGCTCATTCACACATGTAGTCAGGCTGCATTTACCTAATGCTGTTATGTAAAGAATCAGTGGAGTCTGCTTATGGATGTAAAACTAAAGCATGTCTGTAGTCTTGGAGGGGAGAGGCAGTTTGTTTGGTGGTTGGAGAGGGCAGATGCCCATTATAGGTCAGGGTAAAAATAAAAAGGCATCTGTTATCTCCAGAGGCTCTGTATTTCAGTAGTCTGTATTCATCCTGTCTAAAAGAAAATAACAAAATGGGGATGATGCACAAAACTCTGTCATTCAAGGGCTGCAAGCCTTCAAGAACCAGAAGGTGTTGGAAGGAAGAAGGGAATAGAGGAAGGTGGAGCCGGGGCCAGAGGCAGAGCGCCACAAAGCTGTGCAGGGAGTTCAGAAGATCCTCTTGGTCTGTAACACTACTGGATGCTGTGCTGGGCAGTATTGCATTTATTACATTGTTAGCACTGAATTTGTTGAGCTTGCACGGGCTAGGTTTTTTGCCTCTTTTTTTTATTTCCCCCACCTGGGTCCTTTTTCTACCCTGTGCTTTTAAAAGAGAGGAAGCTGCTCTAGACTTAAGCTCTCCAGAGACACTTGAAAATTTTCTAATTTTTTGGGGCAGTTGAGACTGACAGCATGATGGACGGTTTGCTGGAGTTACAGAATGTGTCTCTCATAGTGAGAGGGTGGTTTCCTCTACTGACTGGAAAGCACTGCAAGACTGTATCTGATATTCTGTACCTGTGTCCTGTTCAGTGCTTAACTTCCCTGGCTTGGGCACCCAAATGCTTCACTGTAAGGGCTTCAGTTACCATCAGTGTGGTTTGGTACATGCCTGTGATGTGTGTGCTAATGCCATCAGATCCCTTAAACATCTGTTCCATTCTCTTCTCCCCTGGCTTTCCTTTAATAGAAACTAGAAGTAAGGAAGGAGACACAAGATAAAATAAAAGTGTCTCCTCTGTTCTGTAAGTCCAAATCTCCATTAGGAATTGTCAAAGCTGACTGGTATCCTACAGCTAAAGTATAAGGTTGCCATTTTCAACATTTCTCAGTTAAAGATGTTTCTTGTTACAGGCTGACATACCTGCATTAAGTTAATGTGCATTTAGTGCTGTGCAAAAAATATGAAACAACTGGCATTTTTTCTGGAAAGAAAAAGGAGGTAGCCTTTTGTTTTCAGAGAGACCATTTGATTTTTCAGTATGTAGCACAAGATGGCCTAAAGGAGGCTGATCTTCAGTGTTGAGGGCATTTAACACTTCTACAGCAGTCAGCTCTACAACACAGGTTTTGCTTTCGAGTTAGGCACCCAAAATTTGAAATGTCCCAGGTCACTAGTTCCTTTTGGAAATGTTGATGGCTATTTTTAAACCTAGAGATGTGGAAGTAACATCGTTGTGCTTGTTATTTGCTCATTAACTTGTATGACTCTATTTTCTGTCAGACTTCCAGCAGAACTGAGCTGATAGGGATTGGGCTTCAGGTTTTGAAAACAGAATGATTTTCTGATCACAAAGAGGGTCCTGTGTAGTGCACCCAGTAGCGACAGAGCTGAGGCTGTTTTTTGGTTACAAGTGACACTTAATGGACCTAGCAAAGAGATCAGCAGAGCTTGATTGAGCATGCTGCTATGTGCTGTCAAAACTCGAGCTTTCTTTTCTGTATATGTTCTTGGTTAGAGCTGAATTTACATGTTTTTTAGACATGTGTCCTGAAGATCAGAAATCCCACTTAAGAGAACAGCTGTTTTCATCTTCACCATTCAGGTGAGGCTCTCTGTGAATTAAATTGGGCTTTTGGTAGAAATTTGTGTATTTGCTGGCTGCATGAGGTACATTCTTGTTTTTCACACTGAGGAGATGAAGGGGGCAATATGACATCTTATTCAACTTGTAATTTGGTATAAGAAAAAAAAAAAAAAAAAAGTGTAACTTTTAGTTTTTTTCCCCTACAGGATAATTGTTTTGGATCAGAGCTCTCCTCCATGATTAAAATGGATAGTAAGTTCTAATACATCACCTGCTTACTGCTGCTTGTACAGTATACACCCTGTGAATTGCAACCCTTTTTGGCCACATAAACAACTGTAAAGCTCCAACTCCCTTTAACTGCAGCAGCAAGTACAGAAGAAAATCTAAAGCTCTACTTTGTAACACAGTCTGTACTGGTTTTACGCCATCGTTGCATGTAGAGGCAGTATCAATAATACCACAGAACTGAACTGTTTTCTGAATGTAACATCCTTATGAAGCTGGCTATATGGTGGGGTTTTTTTCTGTGCACACACACTTTCATAAGCAAAAGAATTTCTCGCTCTGTTGCATTACACGGTTTTCAGTGTTAAGAGACATAATGATTGTCATTCTGTGGGCTCCTGTTACTGCTCAGGCACTTACATTTTTCCATGCTGGAATGTGGAGCACTGTTACAGCACACACAGTGTATGTTTTTCCTTGCTCATTAAATTTAACAAGGTAATTTCTTGTTTTCTCTTTTCTTAGTGCTTTTGTGATTTAGTGTTGAACTGATTTGACTGATTAAGAGGATTAATTGCTGTGCAAAAAACTAATGAGAAAAAGGCAGTGTTCTCCAGAGATTGCAAGTGCAGCAATACATTTTCTGCCAGCATTAGAAAAGAATATGAGGAAATCTGGTCAGTATTATGAAAATACTTGTTGTTTAATTAAACCACACTTTTGGTAGGCCTCATCCAAAAAGCCAATTCCCTGGATATAATTGAGCTTTGGATCAGGATTTTGAGGAACGCAGCAACTTCATATTTAACTTTTCTTGTGATAAATACTGTTCATGTGCAGGAGGTGTGAAGATGGTCCTTGTCCCTTTTTGACAGACACTGGATTTTAGCTGTTTTCTTGCAGCTGGGTGTACCACATGTTGCTTTTTCATTCCTGTTCATCTAGGGAAATGCTACATATCTGTAACAGTTAATTAATTTCGTTTAACAATACTAATAAAAGTTTCCAAGGTTATTGTGCTGCTATGTGGTTCTTCTGGTTTTGGAGGTTCTATTTGGGGGTTCATTTCTGGTTTTGGGATTGTTTTTTACTTGTTGTTAACAGTGTTTCCCATTGTCAGACTATGTATACAGCTAGATACCAATAGAGCTACTCCAGGGAAGATGCTTCTAACTGGCAGACTACCTTCAGAAGAGATCAAAAAAAAAAAAAAAAAAAATCTTTCATCTGTTTATTCATGTCACGGTAGTGCTAGAGCTAGAGCAGAAGCACCAGCAGCAGGGAGGCTGCAGTTTGAGTTCTGCACCTTGGGTTGACAGCAGTGCCAGCACATGGGAAACGGGGCTCACTTTTGTGCATTACACGATTCTGTCCAGGTAAGAGTTTTAATATTTTTTAACCCAGGCTCATATCAACTGCAGGTACGTGGCTTTCTCTGTGTGTAAGTTCTGTATCCTTGCTGCAGGCAGAGGAACTTTATATTCTCCATACAAGCTGCTGGAACAAGATCCTATTTTACATCGGCCTGGGGCTATGCAAAGCGTTGTGTTACATTACTGCCTGTTTCAAAGAACAGGGGGTAATGACAAATGGGACAAATGGATGTAAAAGTTAAATTGCAAATTTATTGTGTGTTTTTGTTCATAGTGGCTTGTGACCCATAACTGACAAGTAGCTGAGGGTCATTCCTGCTCGCTTTGGGTAATGTTTTGTTATGTTTCATAGACTTGCTCATTTAAATAAAAAGTAATTAAAATGTGGTAGAGTGAAGCAAGCACACATGCATTTTTACATGCATGCAATTATGAATCACTTTGGTTTGCAACATTTGAAATCTCCTTAGTGTCTTGGATTTCTTTTTCCATTTTATCTGTCAGACCAAATGGTGAGCGGACTGTGAACCATTTCCCTATCTTTTTTTCAATCTTAATGTGGAGAATTTTTATTGCTGTTGGTAAAGCCTTTCAAATAGTCCCATAGCCTGTCTGCTTTCCTAATTGAGACCAAAATGCAGCCGTTTTCAGTTTTTCAGCTGCTTGTACTTTTCCAGATTTCAGTTTAACACGAATGTAAATCATCCTAATAACATTAGAGCATAGACACAAAAGCTGTAATTAACAGGAACAATTAAACAAGGACCCGCGAAAGACAGCAGAGAAGATCAGAGGGGGCCCATCTAATGCTGCTTCTCAGCTTCCCAGAGAATGAAAGGCCAATTAATTAAATTAAAATAGTGCTACTGAGCACTAATTCCTCTCGGAGCCCCTGGCGTGTGAGCGGTTGCAGGGCGAGGGAGGCGGCGGCACAGGGCTAGGGGTGAGGCTGGGGGTCCCGTCCCCCTGCGCCGGGGACGCCGCACTGCCTGTACTTGCTGCACGTGTGTCTCTGGAGGTGCTGGCAGGACCCTGCCATAACTCTGAGTGAAGACAAGTGAGAAAAAAAGCAAATGTTTGTTCTGTAAGCAGCTCACTTGGACCTGTCATTGTACTGGTCTTGGTTTGGGGATTTTTGTGGTGTTTTTGTCTCGGAACAGAGAATCTCAGAAAAACCCTTTCGGTCTCCCACATCTCACCCTAATCTGTGCCAGTTCAAATTGCCTTTCTGACTGCCTGTTGTTGGGCTGTGGGCTGCGTGCTAGTGAGGCCATTTAGTGAGGTGAGGAACAACTTCCAGCATTGTTTCCCTCCAGCTCCTTTGTGGGCTTGCTGCAATTGCAGAGGCTGTGGATGGTTGGAGAAGAGGACTGGGGTGTGTTTTGGGATCATCCCTGTTGATGATGTGTGATAGAAACGAACTGCAGAGGGGAGAAGGAACCTTTAAATCTTGTGACTACGGTTCAGTCTCATTTAGAAAGCAGTTTAAGTGTTCAGAATCAAAATTCGCAAGAATTAGCTATGAAGGCAGATGGGCTGCTGGTATCAAATTCCTCTATCTTTAAAAATGCTAAAACAGTCTCAGGGGATTGCTGTCTGTGGTATTGCCTAAGTCTTGTGATTAGAAGCCTTATCCGTAGCCTCCTAAATCACATAATCTGCATTGCAGTCCAGATGTGTAATTGCAGCTGTTGTAGATAAACATTTTGTTTTGAGGTTCAAGATCAGGTGTGTGGCTGTGGAACCCCATGGAGGATTTTTTGTCCTATTTTTTTCTTAGAGGCTTTGGCATCTTTTGCTTTCTATGAATGTCCTGGCAGTTCGGACAGCAGTGGCTCTGCTGTGCCTTTTCCTCAGGATCCACAGGGCCTGTTCCAACCTGGCTGTTTCTTTATTACCTTAAATATAAATAAAAAATACAGCTTTGTGTCTCTGAGCTGTATTTTTTTTCTTGCTATCTGTTATGAGGACATGTATGACGCTTGCCACAAGAGAAGTGGGGCCAGCTGTGGTAGCAGGAGGTGAAGTGTTTTCTGTTGCACCTTTTATCAGCTGGTAAGACAGATGCATGTAAACATGTCAGTGTTTATTGAAGCAGTCTGCTCTTAAGCATACCTGCTGGATTTTTGCAAGTTTTACAGCATGACCTTGAACTTCACTGTGAGATTGGGTGGTGCAAACAGGACGTGGTCTCTCTAGGGATGGCAAACATGCAGCTCAGTCCTAGGGACCACTTGGAGGTGGTGTCACAGCCTGGCCGGGTTCAGCCTGACTCTGGGACCAAGCAGCCACTGGGGATGTTTTGTATTGAGGAAAAACTGCTCTTATTTTCTTTGTTCTTAAGAGACCCCTGATTCCCTGAGGTGAGGGGCTGGAAGGGAGGGGTGTTTCCTTAGGAGAGTGAAATAAAAGTTTGCAGTTTATCCTGTGATGAGCTGGCTCCTCTCCTGCAAGAAGACTATGTCATGTCTTTCTGGGGAGCGCCATGAGGGCAGCTGGGGACCTCTCTAGCCTCCAAGAGCCACCCACCTCCTGGGTGTGGGGAGCAGCTACAGCACTGGGCCCTTCTCTGTGCTCCTGTTGCAAGAGGCTGGGGGGACTGGCGGATCCCGAAGCTGACAGTGCAGGCAGGATGTGGCAGCAGTTAGGCACGGCGAGATGGTGCCACCTTATTCCACAGCCCATCTGCAGCAGTGCCTGTGCAGGGGCCGGGGGCAGCTGGGGCTGTTTTTTCTGCCCCCCAGGGTGTTGACCACAGGACACCGTTTTCAGCAGGCAGCTCTGAAACTGGGCAGGGAAATGGCAGGTTAAGTGTCGTGGCAGAAAGCTGGCAGCCACCTTGAGACTTAGAGGCAAAGGCTACAGGGTGGATGCTTCTCAGCCCCTTGTATTTTAGGTGAGATCTGTATTAATTCCCAGCCCAACTCTTTACAGACCCTGGCAGTTTATTGACGATAAATGTTTAATTTCTGTTTGCTTTGTGTGTTCAGTGAGCAGCCTGTGATATAAATTAAGTTGCCTGACCCCATAAAATCACAGATGCTGAAAATGAGTTTGGACTCGGAGGCTACTCCCTCTCCGATTTATTCCCCCAAAACCTTGCTGCTTATACAGCAACTCCTGGATCAAGCCTATGTCTATGTGTCCAGATAGGGGTTTCCTCCATGTTTTATGAGGTCATTAAGTTGTTCTCCAGAAGCCCCAGTGAAGCTGTGGTTTTGTTAGCTAATGGCTTTCTCTCACTTGTTTTGTTGATGATGTAGACGGTTGGGTTGTAAACTGTGGTGGTCTTAGAGACGTAGGAGGGCAGGGGTGTGAGAGCTGGTGGGAGGGCAATGGCTTTGTTGGTGGCCACCACCCTTGCAAACGTGGTGTAGGGCAGCCAGCAGATGAGGAAGGCCATCGCATTCACCATCGCGTGACCTCCTGCTGCACCGTGTCTGATTCCTGCCGCCGTGGAGTTTTGAAGAGAGAGAGATGCCTGTTAACAGCTTCCAAAGCATTTCCATCCCTTAGGTGCCCTGGCATCCGTGCCAGGCAATGTCAGCTCCACCAACTGTCACTAAAACCTGCCGTGTGGCTCCTCATCCCGTTGGAGATGTGCCTCGCCTGCAGTTTTGTGGGCAGAAAGCCATTAACTCACCTGGACTCACCGTACTTACCACTTGCAGAGTCATCAGCAGGTTGGTGTAGAAGAGAATCAGGCTGAGGGGCAGCATGAAGGTGACAAACAAGGCCAAGATGGAGCTACTGTTGCTACACCCACTGGTGTTCCAGTAGAGTCTGCAAAAGGTTCTGAGACCTGGAACAAAGAAATTTCGAAGCAAGACTGAGGCAATCATGGGCTTGGCCGGGGTCTCATGGGCCTGAAGCAATCATGGGCTCCAAAACAGCAAACGCCGGTTCTGCCTTCCCTTAGCCATGCTGCCCAAGCGCCTCTTGTCATCCATCCCCAGTGACCGGGAGATCAGCCACGGTGGTTTTTGGCTGGTCGATGTAGGAGGGTGATTTGTTGTGGCGTGCAGCATTATGCTAAGCCTCTACATAAGCAGATTTGGACAAGGTGTGTGCTGGGCGCTGCTCGGTGTGCTCTGGCAGCCAGAGCAGCTCGCAGCTCCCGTGTCCATCAGGTGTGTAAGGACGGCTGCAGCCTGTCAAGCAGTGGGTAACTTCTGAAGAGCAACCTCTGAGAGAGGATTATTGACTGAGCAAGCAGGAAGTGTTAACGTTTTAAATAGCAGTATAGACACTCTCCGATTACCCTGTGCTTGAAAGCAATGTGCAAGAAGGTGATGCTGTGGAGTCTGAAGCACATCTCCCCTACCTTTGAGAACATAACTGCTCCAGCCCAGGAGTTGGGGGCTTGTCCAGAGCAGTGACCTGCTCCATGTGAAGGTGTAGCTGCCGGCAGCGTGCTGGTGCTGGAACCGAAAGTCTCCCGGGGTCTGCAGACCACAACATACCACTCAGAGGCCAGGATGGCCAGAGACCACAGCCCCACGATACCTGGGGAGAGGAGGAGGGCTTGCAAATTAGGAACAGGCTCTGCTACCCACGCTGGGACGTGGCAGACGATGATTAAGAGCTGCTGAAGTAAATATTGCTGTAACAAGAAGTCAGATGTTTTTCTTATGGCAGGGATAGCTGTGAAGATATTTGGCCCTTAAAAATCAAGTTGGCAATGGGGTGTCTGTGACACAGGGCGGTTACAACCACAGTTTCTCCACTGGAGTGTCCTCAGCACAAGGTTTTGTGTAGTGGTTCACGTTTCTGGTGCACATAACCATCCGTGTGCTGACACAGCAGCCAGCACCCACACAGCACATCCAGAGTGAGGACTCCTGATGTGCCCAAGTGACATTTCCCACCCCATGAAGACCAAGACAAAAGCATGTGGTGACCTGGCACAGCCAGCCATCTACATGACCCTTCCCTGCACCAAAGAACAGCTGAAGGATATGAGTTTTAGGAGATGTAGCAAGCTGATGAAACATTCCCCAAAGCTTCTTTGCTGAACACAACAGCACCAACCAAAGACCAAGACAGGTCTTGAGGTTTGTGTCCTTACCTGTCAGGCAGACCATGGAGCCCTGCAGCTCACACAGCTGTTTGCTGAACACCAAGAAGACACTCATGTTGTTGAAGCTGATGGAGCTGCCACAGAGGGTCACCAGCAGGATGGCCATGGCCAAGTTCTCCAGATACAGGTCAGGAGTGACCGAAGTTTCTTGTACCTGATGGAAACCACGATGACCAAACCATTCACAGTCAAGGCGGAGACCCCAACGCTGCCATCAGCACTGACAGGTACGTGCCCCACGGGGCCTGGGGGGGCCCTGGGGTCCCTGTGAGCTGTTGGAGTGTGTCGGTCTTCTGGAGCACCAGCAGTGGTCCAGCTGGTGCAGGTGACCCTCCCCAAGAGCAAAGCCTTGTTACAAAGCAGGAGGGCCTGATGCACCTCAGAGGAGCTTTGCACTAAGATACCTTAAGCTTTTTTTCACTCTGAAAGGTTTGTCCTCCCACCCCCCACCCCCTTTTGATAATGAGCTCTTTATTCCAGAGGGCATAAAGAGTGACTTAAAAAAAAAAATATCTGATGACTGAATATTGCATCATTTGATTGAGGAAATATATTTATTTTTTTCCTTGTGCTTCCCACCTGCCTTCCCCTGTAAACGTGTCCCTCACCTGCTCTGGTGCCTGTCCCTGCTGCTGCTCCTGCACTTTGTCAGCGAGTAAAAACGGTGCAGACATGCCAAACCTTTTTCTTCAAAAAGTTAACTAACTATATGTTTGTGTCTGTTCATAACTTGCACATATACATGCCTATATGCACATATGTGTGTAAGTATATATGTATATATAATATGTGTATAACTGTATATTTGTATTGGTGTAGAGGGCTATATATATATGTGTGTGTGTGTCGAGGAGGGCAGCTCACTTTGGGCCATACTTGTGCGTATTTGGGCCGAGCAGCAGGGAAGTGCAGTACCTGCCCGTGCCCCGTCACACGCTGCTGTAGCCAGGAGCAGCCGGTGTAACACACAAGGACCAGCAGCAGCTTTTTAATTTCACCGCAGCAGTCCCGGCCGAGGCGGCGCGATGACGGAGGGCACAGTGGGTGTGGAGAGCTGCCACCATCCTGGTGTCCCAAGGGAAACAGCCTCCACCAGCCTTCAGCGCCGGTGAGCAGCCCGACTGGTAACCTCCAATGGTATCCGTGCAACCAAAGCTCCAGTGAGGAAACCAGACATGAAATGGCACAGCTGGAGCGGGGGCAGCGGCGCCTCGGCCCCCTCCCCACGCAGGGAGGTGTCGCTGCACCTTCGCCCCGGTCTGGGACAGGCACAGACAGGCAAAAATCCCCGGGGAGACTGGCCCGGGCACCGCACGGGCGTCCCCACCACCTGGCCACTAGTGCTGCTGAATGGTGCCCCAAGTGATGCAAAGTTAACGGAACCTTCAAAAAGACCAGAGATTTGGGGTGGTTTTTTTCAATCCTCCCTTGACTAATCTCCCTCCCACCCTCCAGCGCCGGCACTTACAGTCCCTGTGCGACCTCCCAGCACCCTGGTGAGAGCGGGGACATGGAGCAGCGCAGTGGTTTGGGGCTTTTTTTTTTTTGCAGCAGGAAGAGATTGGCAGGTGGAGAATAAAGCCAAGCAGCACCTGATGCTCTGGTTTATAACCATCCCCTGCTCCCCGAGTCCTCCCTGGGCCCCAGCTCTTCACCTCGTGCCTCTGGGTCACTCAGTGCTCCAGCTGAAACTTCTGATGGGCCGAGCTCACCCACCAGCGTACCAATGTGGGGAGATTCAAAAGCTGCACTGCCACTACTGACCTTTTTTTTTTTTTTTTTTTTCTTTCCCTTTTTATTTTGGGTTCTCGTTATAAATATTAACAAATCTGACAAAAAGTACACAGATAATACTGAAATACAAAAGTTTTTTAGGATGCAGGTAAGGACAGTTTCTGCAGCCTTCACACGGTAGCAAAACATTGGTATCAAACATTTTGCAAGGCCTGGCGTAACGACCACCACTCTGCATGCAGCTGGGGCAGACAGACAGACTGTCTGCTTCAAAAAGACTGGGATACAAGGTGAAGGAGCCCTCACACACCGAGATCATGTCCCATTCCACCTCAGGCATAAACCAGTTTCAGGACAAGATGTGCTGAAACAAGGGATGGACTGAAAGTAACTTTGCAAGAAAAGGGAAGCACAGCCGGCCCGGCGCTCCCGCTGCTCTCCTGGAAGCTCAGTCCCAAACCAGGTTTTAAGGTGCTGGACCAGTGACAGACAGAGAGGAGTAACAGGAACAGCCTAATTGACACACTGCCAGCATTCAAATAAAATCCATGCATATCTGCAGAATGCATTACAAATATTAAGTTGTTAAAAAAGCCCCTATGAATGTTGATTTCCCCTCCCCCCCCCCCCCATATCAAACAAGGTATAACACGATCGTCACTTTGAAAAGTAAACATAGGTTTCCAGAGATCCATCCAAGTGCTTTCTGAAAAAAAAAGAGAAGTCGGCAACACGCACGCACGCACACACACAGCTACAGGGCTCAGAAGCTGTCGGTAATTGAGACCCCTGGGGAAACAGCAGCTCTTCCTAAGAAATCATGGTTTACAGGCTTCAAAAACTGGCAAGGTGCAGCATTTCGCAGAAAGTTTCAGCTCGGCCCACTGGGCACCGGCTCTTGCGCAAACACACCAAAGTCGTGTTTGCACAAGAGCCGGTGCCGGGGGGGGCTGAGGATGCAGAGACCGGCCAGGATGGGTCACGGAGGATGAGAGCTGGGCTTAAGTATTATTGTATTATTACCGTGCCGTACACACAGAGTTGGTTTGGACGGTGTTTGAGGCGGAAAATGGACCCAGCTGGCGGCTGTGTCAGCACTGAGCATCTCTGCAAACACGATGCCGGCTCAGCCCCACGCCTCAGCTCACTGCACGCCGGCGGCTCGCAGCGCAACACGCCTCGGTTGGGGTTTAGGTAACGGCAAGAATTGGAAAAAGATGAATAAGGGAGAAGTGATAGAAAAACTTCGCCTGAAAGCGAACTGTACTGGGAAAATAGCCCTGCGGAAGCCTGGCTGCGTGGCCCCGGGCGGGAAGGCGTGGGTGCATTAGAGCGGCTGCTGCGAGGGCAGTGAGAGACTTTGCTGCCGGTGCCGGGAGGTGGGAACAGCCGGCGGCTTCGCTGAGATTTTTATTTTGCCCCCCACCTCTGCAAACATGAAGCCACCCGATCCCGGGGACCGCGAGAGGGAAGCCGTGGTCCGCACAGCGCATTCAGCTTGCTGGCTAACTTCCCATCGGGTACTGGAGAGGACGAGCACAACACTTCTGGAAGAAAAGCAAATAGTCTTCCTAGGTTACCAGGGGACACAATCATTCCAAGGGAGGAGCTTTAAATGCATAAAAGACTGTTTAGGCCCAAACCACAGAGACTGACAAACCACCAGAAATATGGCACAATCGCCTTGAGAAAATAGTTCCGGGTTTTAGTGATGCCTTTTGTTCATATTAAATACACAAACGGAGACTGATGCATTCATTTTTGCCACTGAATTGCAAGGCAGCGAGAAGGTAATTCAGTATAGCAAAGAGTTAGGGGAGGAGTCAGAACTGCAGTGCATGCAGGCGTGTGGTGTCCGTGTGTGTGTGTGTGTGCACACGTGTGTGTGTGCGCGTGCATGTGCATGCGCGTGAGTGTGTCAGGGTGCAAAGAGGCATTTTGGAAAAGCCTCAGGGGACGGGACCTGCCGAGCAGAACAAACCGCCGCTGCCTCGCTCCCTGGGAAGGGTCTCGCTGCAGCCAGGCCGTGGCGTGGGGCGTCCCGCTCTCCCGGCTGCCCCGGTACCACGATCCCCCGTATCCAAAGCCGCAAACGCGCCAAGTCCAAAGGCCGTGGCCGGCAGAGCTGTGCCCGCCCGGGGCGGCCCCGTGGCGCTCAGTCGCTGAGGACGGCCCCTGGCAGCTCATTCGTTAGCGTGTGCCAGCGCTCGATTTTCTTGTCCTTGTTTTTCAGGCAGTCGAACCAGTGCTTCAGCCGCTCGCCTTTGGCGTTAATTCCTAACACGACTCCACCTTGAGGGACAGAGAGGGGGAGAGGGAGAGGTGGGGGTGAGCATCAGCCCTGCGAGGGATGCTGGGGGGCGCCGGGGGGAGGCCGGGCAGAGCCAGGTCACGCAGCCGCTCTCACAGCAGCCAATGCCACAACCTGACGTGACACACGGGCGGTCCCAGCCCGGCTTCCCCGGCCCCTCAGGGCTCCGGGCTGGGACCTGCCCCAGGCAGCTTGTCCTTGCGCCAAGGGCTGGATGCTCACTGCCGCTGCAGCGGCTGTCAGAGCTACTGGGCACTTGGTAGCCATAAATCACCGTGACCAGTAACAAAATCACAAGAAGCCTCGACATCCAACAGAGATGCATGAAGTGTCCCTGCTAAACCTGGTTTTTATTCAGAAGAAAATATTTGAAAACGGAAGGGCAGTGGGGGACGTAAGGCTCAGGTGTAGGAGAGGGATAAAAGTATAACAGAAACCCAGCAAGAATGAATGTGGGGATGGAGAAAAAACTGGGAGGCTGGAGAAGTGCAGAAGAGCAGCAGATGAAAAAAGAAGAGGCAGAGAAGGTGATGATAAGAGGCCAAGGAGACCTTCTGGAACGCCCCACTCACCTATGAAATCGTTTGATTTCCCGATATCGTAGTCCCACACTGTGACTTCCAAGGTCTTTTTTGCCAGGTCGCCGTGCTTTATCTCATAGCAAAACTCCTGTTGGGGAACAGAGACACAGTCAGGACAGACCCGTGCTGGGTTCCTGCGTGGGCTGGGACCCCCAGGAAGGGGCTGGGGCTGTCCATCCTCCTCCTTGGGCTGCTGCCCTTTCCCACCCCCAGGGCACTCAACCTCGATCCCTCACCTAATGACCGAGGGTGGGTTTAGTTTTTTTCCCCCTTTTAAGACCGAGGACTGAGAAAAGCCCCTGGGTGAGAACCCCAACCGGCAAAACCCCACCTCATTGAACTCGGGGTTCAACGTCTTCTTCTTCACCGCTGTCTTATGCTTTGATTTCTTGTCCTCGTCTGGTTTCAGGTAACTGCAACGAAAGCAAGGCAGCGCGGTCACACGCAGGTCCCGTCCGCGCTGTCAGCGTGGGGGGCAGCCCGGGCACGGGGGGGGGGGGCGGCTGGGGGACCCGCTCCTCAGCGGGGGCAGGGTGAGATGAAGGGCTGAGCCCCCCGAACCTGCAGCTCGCTCCTCCCCTGCCACAGTGCTGGAGCTGGCTGGAGGGAAGCGGCATTTCCCCACATTCGCACGAGGTGAGCCACCGGCTGCCACTGGAGAGCACCGATTATCCCATCTCCAGTCCCTAGGGGACACTGGCACCGCACAGACACTCCCAGCTTCCAAAATCAAACGTTCCCAGCCCAGAGTTGGGACTCTGTGACCACTCTGCTCATCCAGAGCCTTGCCAGGAGACAAAAACCACACGCAGGCGTGTAAGAGGGAGCAGGAGCAAGTGCAGTGGCTGCAGCCTCGTGCGGGGCTGTTTCCTGCAGCTGTTTTGCCACGCGGCACCAGGGCCTAAAAGTAAACGAGATTAAAGTGTCATCAAGCAGAGAGGGCGCCTGAAATCCGGGCCAGCCCAAAGTCACTGTTCCGTGGTGGTGTTGCTCCTTTAAACACCCGTTCTGCTTCCTCCTTACACTTTCCAATCTTGCTCATAATTAAAAAATTAGGGCTTGTAACGAGAAGCATCACTTGCCTATCTGCTCCAATTGAAGCCCTGCAGGTGCAACCCTCTGCAGACAGCACAGCGGGCACCTACAAAACAACTGTGTAGAGCAACAGGAATTATGTTACCTCAGGGACTGAGCCTCTAGTGAGCATTTAAAAATCCAGAGTGGATTTTTATGCGAACACCTCCACTCTTACTAAAGAGCAATTAAATAGGAAGGTGAAAGCGTGCTGCCGATAAATTCCGTTACTGGCCTCCCAGGTGCAGTTTGTCCCTCGACAAAGACCATCCCGGAACGTGCCCAAGTTTGGGTCAGCGCCTGGGGGACAGGGATGTGGGATGGACACAGCGGGGGCTGCCGGCCCTTCCTTGCCAGGGGCCCCCCTGCTTCGCGGCGAGCGAGTTTGAAAAATACCATCCACCCAAAAAACAGGAGCTGCAGCCACGCAGGGCCCTGCGCCAGCCTGGCTCTGCACCAGCAAACCATCATCTTCCTCAGCATCCCTTAGTAGCCCCGGGATGACACTGACTTCCACGAATCACTTGGGTGACACCGAGTCGCAGCAGCCCACTGTAGTCATTTTAATAGTTTTTTGTTTTTGTTTTTTTTTTTAATGGTGCTGGTATTTTTCAAAAGGAAGGTACTCCCTGTCACACTGGAAAGTGTCAGCGGGACCTGTAAATGTGCCCTCAGCTCTGTTAATCAGGCTCTGGAGCCACGGGTTGCGATTAAAGTGCTGTCTGACCTAATTACATGCACGTTGTAATTAGAGCTTTTCTAAGCGGTGGCCCCGCTGCTGGGCTGGGAGCTTCGGTAGGAGCCTCCTCTTCCTTGGGACCTGGGGAAGGGGGATGCCTGCACCCCAAAGTCACCGGCTGGGGGGGCCAGACCTGACCCAGCAGCTGTCCCCACCCCAGCAGGGACTGGGCGGGCTCCCAAGAGGAAAAAGGCTGGGGGGGCACCACCGGGAAGGAAAGCGAAGGCTGAACAGGGTCCAGGACCGTCCTGCTCGGGGGATCCCCACCACCCGCTGGGCTGGGACCGTGCCGCCAGCAAAACCTGACTGTCCCTGTCTGCTTTGGGCCACCAAATCTGTCCCCAGGGCCACATCCCTGCCACAGACCCTCTCCCAAGCGAGGGCAGCACCAAGCCAGCTGCGGGGCACCACGGCCACCCAGCCGCTGCCCGGCCACGCACCACCGGGCAGATCCCCCACCCACCGTACTTTGCAGCGCTGGAAAATAATTGCCGGGGAATAACGCGCTCCAGGCGAATGCAAGCTGCTGCCGTGACGCCCTCATTTGCATCTCCTAATGAGATCAATTAATTTCCACTGCAGGGAGAGGCAAGAGGGGACAGCGCAGCTTCACCGAGGGCTGGCAGCGTCTCGCCCGGCCCGGCCGCGGAGCAGCACTCACGTTTTGACATAAGGGTCTGAGTAGCCGTTGGCGTCCATGGCGGCCAGGTGGGCGCAGCGGATGATGCCCACCAGCAGCCCCTGCTTCTGCGAGCTGTACTTGAGGGAGATGAGGATCCGGCCGCGCTCCTCCAGCGATTTGTCCTCTGTTTTATCTATCTGGGGGAGGGAACGCACCCAGTCCGGGGGCTGCTTCGGGACCCAGCCGCAGCCCGACACCCACCTCCCCAGCGCGAGGGAGGCTCCCCCCATCCCCGATCACGTTTGAGGGGTCAAACGAGCCCACGCTCCCACACGGTGCAGGGAGATGCTGTATCTGCGGGCCCACGGTGAGGGACGCTGCTCTGATCCCCCCCACTCACCGGCAGCTGCTTCTCCAGGCAGATGTTGAAGTTTTTGGTCTGGTTGGGCTTCAGTTTCTTCAGCGGGATCCGCGTCTCCCCAATGAACTCGTTGTGGCGGAACTTGTCCTCATCGCAGACCGAGATCCTGCAACAAGCTCGGGGTGAGCGGGCCCGCCGGGGAGAGGGGAGGCGCTGGCGCGAGGGAAGGGGCTGCCCCGTCACGCTGCAGGTCCCCCCAGCAAGGGGACAACTCCGAGGCCACCCTTCCCCAGGCACCTGCTACAGCCCAGCCAGGGCAGCTCATGATGTTTAAATGCGACACCCAAGACCTTGGTTTGCTTTACCTCCGCAGCTGCGACCCGAGGCTGCCGGGATGGAGGACGGGCCGGGTCTGAGGAAGGAGAGAGATGCAGGAGGTGGAGGCTGCACCGCGCCACATCCCCCAGCCCCCTCTCCCGTCTCTCCATGCAGAGCTGCCTGCACGCCCCGGCTGGCCCCGTGGCCACCATGGCCGTCTCTCCTGCTCAGAGCTCATCGTGGCCAAGGCTCCTGCACCCCTCGGCATGGCTGTCACCGCCCTGGGGATTGGGCTCCCTCCGGCGACAGGCTCACCAACCCTGACCATCACAACCCTGCGGCGCCACAGTCGCTGTGTCTGACGCACGGCACCCTCAGAAAAGCAACCTGGAGCCTCAAGCATCCTAACAGTGCTTCCATTAAAACATCAAAGCCGTTGGTGACTAAAGCAAAACTATTCTGAGCCTCCACCAGCCTGGCTGCATCCTACCTGGCTGAGGAGGCTCTTCCTAAACCCGCTCTTGGACTGTGTGGTCAGGAGGAGCGTCCCTCCCTCGCTCCCCACTCGAGGAACTCGGGCCCTTTTCTGAGGGTGGCAGCTCCCAGGGTGTCCCCTGGCGTGGGGGACCTGGCTGCCCTGTCTGGGACATGCAGGGTGGGTCCTCCACCTCCTCTCCCACCTTGCAGACAAGACCAGGAGGGATTTGCAGACCCAGCCTGCGAAAGGCATCACACCTCAGCCAAGCGCCGCTCTCCCGGCCCCCGCGGGGTCCTGCGCAGGGCCGGGTCCCGGGATGCAGCCCGTGATGGCAGCCTGCATCTGAGGGCAGTGATGGCGATGCTGCGCGAAGGCTGTTTTCTGTGCAAAAGCTATAAATGCCTTTTCCTGAGCTGGCAGCTAATGAGTCATTTCTCTGCTGCTTCCCAGCCCGCTCTGGGCGTCAGGAGGAACGACACAAGAACAAAGTTAGTGTTTGCAGGGAGCTTCTGCTCGCAGCTCCTGCAATCCCAGAGAGGGGACCAGGAGGGCGGTGGCTGCCTTGTGAGGGACCAGCCGTCCCCCAGCAGCGCAGCCTGGAGCTGGGGCCAGGGAAAGCTGTCCCAGCCCCCTCCAAAGGGAGCACCCCCCATCCCACGCCCCCAGCAGAGCCACACAGGGACCAGCTGGGCTCCCTGTCCATAAAGGAAAGGCGTTTCCCTTTCCTTCTCTCTTTTCTCCCCTTTTTAAAAATTTTCCTGCAGTGTCTTCTTGTCCTTTAGCTGCCTGATTTTTTTTCTCTCTTTCACCCACTCCTGTTGGTGCCCATTTCTCACAGGCAGCACCTCCGCCTCCAGGGACCACGCTCCACATTGCCAGGTTTTGACAAACAGGACCTATTCAGGAAGGCTTAGAAGTAATTAAAGATAAATAGTGCCCTGCAATCCCGCCTCAAACTAATTGCACACCATGCCTCTGGCCTGCACAGCATCCATGGATGTTTATCATCCGTGGATGGTTTGACCACTCTCACGTTCACAAGTGAATAACAAGGCAGCGAGGGAGACATGGGGATGGCTCAGTCGCACAGCACAAGGACTGTCAGTGCTGGGGAGCAGCTAAGGAAGGGGGCTTGGGAAAAAAATAATACAAGCAGGAAGATGGGGAATGCTGCTCTCCAGAAAACTGTAGCTGGATGCAGCGTTACTATAGATACCCGTGAAAAAAACCACCCCACCGCAACAGTAAAATCCTCAAAGAGAATCTCAAATGCAGGCACAATATCTCCTATTTTCCTTCCTCCTCTCGCCTCTCCTTTAAAGAACAAAACCAAAAAAGGAGCAGCAGCAGCAGCTCCAGACGAGAAGCGGCACAGGCGTGCACAACCCCACACCCATCTGGCCAAAGCTCTGGGGAGGGAAAGCAAGTGCACAGTTATGAAAGCCGGGCTGAAGAGGAGAGGAGCGTGGCCCTCACAGGGAGCTGACAGCCAGGGGTTTATTTTTACAGCCGGCAATTGCAGAGTGGTGCCGTCTCCTGCACAATCAGGGGAGGCAGGGTTTCATACTGCTTTTTGCCTCTTAAGAACATGAGTAACAAGATCTTCCTCTGACAAGGTCTGGGTATGACCCAGAAGCACAAGAAAATACCAAATGCAATGTCCTACTTGCTGGGAAGCCCCAGAACCACCTGGGACAGGCGGAATCCCGGGAAGGAAATGGCTGGAAAACTTCAGCGGTGGTGGCAGGGAGAGCAGCATCTCCAGTGTCGTACTGGGAGAGGCTGGAGAGCCCCACCGAGCCCCATTCCACTGCCCAGGGGGACACGGGAAGCCCCTTGCTCCCACCTTAACAAGCAGCTCTGAGTTCACCAACCCCTTGCAGCGTGTTACAGCTCAGAGACCTTCAGCTCAGCCCTGGGCAGCCGCCAGCCCCGGCGTGTGCCCCCGGGACGGCTCCTGTCCCCCCCGCACCGCACAGCCCGCCCTTTGCAGCAGCCAGGGCACAGGGACGCCCTGCAGCAGCCAGACCACCAGAGCTGCCCCGCTGCAGCCCATCGAAGGGCAAACCCTTCCCCCAAGGGAGAAAGGTGACAAATCGGGGGTAGCGTCAGGGTCCCCAAGCCCCGGCCTGCCGCGGAATGAACATCCCCCTTCGTCCCCCGGGACCGGCAGCGCCCCGAGCAGACCCGCACGTGCTGCGTGCTGGAGGCAGCCCAGCCGGGCACAGCGCGGGGGCGACGGCCCCCTTCCCTGTCCCCGCTGAAGTCCCAGGCTGGTTAAGGTGTCTGTGCAGGGCCGGGTCCCTTGCGAGGCAGTTTTTGGCACACCTGCAAGACGTGGGAACTGCCCCTGTCTCCGAGCAGCACTACGGAGCCAGAGACGCCGCCAGGTCTCTCCCAGCCCCAATTTCCCTCCGGCGTCTCTGGCCACCTCTCAGGTGGGTCCCCACATTTTGTGCCCATCTGGGTGTGATGACCAGAGGCGGTTCAGCCGCAAAGTTTCGTGGCAGCCCTCCCAGTCTCTCGGACCCAGCCCCTGAACCCCAGTCCCTCTGACTGCCTGCGGTTCACCTTCACCAGGACGGTATTTTTAACTCGAGCAGGCTGGTAGTGCACCCGCCCCATAAGCGAAGGCAGCAAGAGTGACTCAGACGAGCAGACAGCTCCGGCCCCAGCCCTCCCTTTGGAAACAGGCATAAGGCAATTACACTGGCTTGAATTTTATTACGAGAAATCGATGTGATGGAATTTTTATGCCTTGGGTTAGAAAATCAGCTCCCTGACGAACAGCAAGAGACGCCTCTGGCAGCCACGCTCACCTGCCATCCCGAGCCCTTTAACTCAAACATCACCCCCTCCCTCGCCTCTCTTTAATAAACCCCATCCCTTGAGCTCGGCTTCTGATTTGACAGCTTCCTCTGAGGGGTCCTGATCTTTAAGTTAAGGGCAGTAAAATCTACCTTGGAAGAAAACTAAGCAGCAAGTGAACAATCATTGCTCATTAAACTTATTCTCCCTCCTACTCAGCCCAGGCTCCTGGGTTACAGTCCTGACTCACCGCGCAGCTCAAGCAACCCCGCTCTGCTGACTCACAACTTCTGAACGCACACACGCTCCCCCGGCCTCTTTCCTGTTGTGGAAAGGGGAGAAGGGGGGTCACTGAGGACCCTTCTCCACAATGCACACACACCTAACAGGCAGTGGAGCCTGAAGATGCATCTCCTGTATCTAAGATCCCTTATGGTCCCTATAGCAACTTGGGAGGCTCTCGACTGAGGAGCAGATGCGCAGGTGATGCCTGCTTGGCTTAAGGACAGGCAGCGCCTGGCAAGGAGAGAAAACAGAAAAAGGCGGTGTCCTGGGCCTGTCCAGCTCTCCTAAAACCAAAAGGAGGATTCAGTGCTGGGCTCCATCACAAAATGCCTCAAAGTCTGAGCACAGAAACCACAGTAAAAGTTAGAGGAAATTATGAGTGTGCTTGCGGTTCTGGAGCAATTCTCATTCAGCGCTTCTGGAGTAAAGCAATTTGGGACCCCAAATCTCTAAGTGTCTGCAGTACGCCTATTAGACCTGATCAAATACTATTTTCTGAATAATGTATTTAATGAGTCATGATGTTTGTCAAACACATGATTAAACAAAGAATTCCTGGCATTCGTGGGCTAGCTATCATATGAATAATGCATCACTTCGCCAATGTATCTGGATATGAATAATTGTATCCAGTATCTGGCCAGCTCTGATATTTATTATGAACACAATCTATTCATTGCATATTACATGTATTATTTAAATGTAGGCGATTGTATTCTGCCTATTCCAATTTCCCCTGCAGCATTTCTCTGCCTCCCCCTGTCATGCACCCCGGCTTCCCACCACGGAGACCGTGGCCGAGCTGCTGCGGCACGGCCGGGCTCAGATCGCAGGCCGGGAGCAGTGGTGCCTGCAGACAGGGCCTGGGAGCGGGGACTGCAGGGCAGGATTTAGCCCTCGTGCTGGCAGAGAACCTGTCCCCCAAGCCCCGGCCCTCCAAGCCCAGAATCTTTTGAGCGGCTCTGAATTTGCCTTCTCTCAGGATGGTGGGTGGTTTCACTGCTATTAAGCCTTGGGCTAGACTCAAGGATATTTAATTCAATGAATGGACGAGACCTTTCAAGATCCTCCCACCTGCCGCATTTCATGAAATCTGAAGTATCTGGTGTTTTTTGAGGGGGTTGATTCATTAACAAAATCCTGCTTGCCAGTGCAACTAGCTGGGCTGCCTTCACCTCTCCTTCTCCCTTGGGGAGGTGAACATCAACGGCTCCTGGGGCCGTCACAGCAAAGTCATTTGACCAGCTCAGACGAGGCCACACAGGGATGAGGGGCAGCCTGTCCGGGCACAGCGTGGGGCTGGGGGGCTCGGGCAAGAGGGGGTCTGTTATGCTGCTCCCCAAGAGGCTGAGGATGCCCCTAGTGCAGCCCCTGCGATAAGGCGAATGCCTCTTCTCCCCCCAGAAGGGTTGCAGGCACTGGCAGAGAGCCCTGTGCCAACACCGACCCACCAACCCATGCTGGACACATCCTGACAAGAGCCCAGGTAGGCAGGGAAGATTTCTGGGTGCTTTTCCAGCTTTTCTGCTGCATCACACGCTCTCCAGGCAGCAGGGAGGCGAAGGCTGGCGGCAGCTTTGATCTCCGCCGTTATTTTTACATTAAAGAGACTTTGCAATCGTGTTCCCTGCCCCTCCGTGAATCTCAGCAGCCAGGGAATGATCACCTCCCAGACCGAGGGGAACATCACTCATGCTCTTTCAACTACCAACAGCTGCCTTGTAGGAGCCTCGCCTGATTAGCGCAAGAAAAGCCAGCATCCCGTAGCTTTGAAGTCGGCTTTTCCTAACGGGGAAGGAGATATTTTGCCGAGATGGCGGGTGAGCGAAGCGAAACACTGAAGGCAGGACAACACAGGGCACAGGAGATGCTTCCTGCAGGAAGCGGCACCAGGAGGGTGAAGGGCCATTGCCACTGGTGTTAGGGAGAGGCTCACAGAAGAGAAACAGCTCAACCCACACCAAAATAAAAAAAATCTTCGGTGAGTCCCAGCCAGCAGGGACCCCAGCCCATCCATCCCTCCTCATATAAACCAAAGATCCCTTCCCAGCCAGGTGGTGAGGGCACCAGTCTGAGAGTATCTAAATGAGGAGATGCAACGTTTCCCAGCCTTACATCCTTCTACTCAACTAAACATCCAGTGTTTGAAAAGAAGAAAATCCAAGAAAGGAATTAAAAGAAAAGATGGATTTTTCTACCTTGCAGCTGGTTTGCAAGAAGCCTCCTCTCACCTAAACCTGCTTCAGGATAAACAAAATCTCCTTTGCCAGTATCTTCAACCACGAAGGTGGAGAAGAGAAAAAAGGAGTCTGGGGCATTGCTCTTATGGAAAATGAAGACCACGTGAATTTTAGGCTCTGGCTCCCCTGCCATGCAAGGTAAGAAATGGAGCCAGGGTGCTCAGAAGCTTTGTTTTAGCAGAGGAATTCCCTGGGCCCTGCCACTGCCATGGCTGTTTGTGCCAGCAGAAGCTCAGCACGGGAAGGAGCACGGAGCACAAGGAAGGACATGGGGCCATCAAGGGTGTCCCAGCACCCACCCTGCAGTACACTGGTTTTGGAGTTGGGACCAAGAAATGTTATTTCATTGGAACTTTTACGCACCCATCTACATGTGGGACATTTTTTAAAGGGATCTGAGTCCTGACTAGAAAATTTTTTGCGGTCCACACAAGAGAATAGGCTGAACCCCCAGGAAGACCCACCACAGCCAGGGGAGGAGCTGGCCCACGCATTGGGTGACAGCCCCACAGCAGAGGTGCCAAATGGGAAACCTTCTTCACCCAAAAGTTCGTTTCTTTAATTCTTTGGAGTCATTTCCAGGCAAAACCAAAGCCGCAACTTTCCACTTCTCCACTTTTCTGTTCATACAACCTTCCCAGGGAGGTGGTGGAGCCACCTGAGCCCCTCACAAAAAAACGTAACATCTACCCCAGAGTTTGAAGGCTTTTAGGTCACCTTTGGCGTGCCGACTGCCATGGTAACACCAAGGATGCGATTCCCCTTTCTGCCCCACACAGGAAAAGGCTGCTCATGCCCACCAGCACGGATGCTGCTGAGGAGCCCAAACCTTGAGCCTCATTAGTGCTGGGGCGGTGGGGCTAAATCCTGCAGGATGGAGCCCACTCCAACTGGATGCAGTGCCAGACCCCAGCCCTGTGCCTGGAGGTGAGGTGGGGATCTGCGTGGCCCCCGGCTGCCCTGATGGCAACGTCGCCGTGGGGCTCGCCACCTCCATGGGGACAGGATCCAGCAAACCCTGCTGGCTAGCTGCAAATGCCGATGAGTCAGAACTTGGCTATTCCTCTCCACGCGGAGAAGATTTTGATCCTTAATTATCACTTAATTCACCGGGGTCGGCTGCTGGCAAGGAAACCTCAGCTACAAAGTGCAGGCTTTGTGCAGAGCGCTGGAGAGCCTGAGCAACTCCCTGTGAAGTGGCAGCTCGATGGGCGTGAAGGCACAAGATAGATGGCTCTGATGGCACGAGGAGACGCCAAACCCCAGGGATGCTGCCCCTGCACAAGCAAATGAGGCTTCGCAGGGAGTTTCGCTCCCCGCAGAGCGCCCGGCTGGGAACTCACACAGGGCAACTGCACCGCAGGAAAGCCGGGGGCTTCCCTCGCCTCCCCGGAAAGGTGCCCTTTGAAGCTGCTTTGGCTAATTGGCTGTTAACCGACCTTGCCAGCAATCTCCTGAGCTCCCCACAGAGCTCCCAAGACAGAAACGCTGTCTCCGTTCAACCACATCCCCCCCGCAGAGCGAGGGGTCCCTGCGCATCACCCTGGGGTCCTGCAAGTGGGGTACAGGGGTCTATGTGTGGCGTTTAGCTTTGGAGGGGTCACAAGGAGCCCCATGTGCTGAGCCTTGGGGGAGCCTGTGGCCACACTCGGCTCCCCACAGCACCCAGGGGGGTGGGCAGGAGCGGGGATGTGCTAACAAGGGATTTACTGTGCAGGGGGTGAGGCGCTGGCCCAGGGTACCCAGAGAAGCTGTGGCTCTCCCCGCCCTGTAAGGGTTCAAGGCCAGGTTGGACAGGGCTGGGGGAAGGGGGCCCTGCCTGTGGCAAGGGGGTGGCACTGGGTGATCTTTAAGGTCCCTGCCAACCCAAACCACTCTGTGGTTCTTTGATTTTTGTGGAGAGAATGGCAAATTCATCCTGGCCCACGCACACATTTCTGTGTGTCCCGCTGCCATTGAGCATCCCACACCTTCCCGCTGCCTCCCAGGAGGGAGCAAGCGCAACCCTTCCCTAGGGAGAAGCAGCTACCAGGCCCCCAAAAAGGTGGGGGTCAAGCCCTTCTGCTCCCTGGTGCCTTTCACCAAACAACTCAGACAAACGTCTCTCTACAAACCAATTTCCACACTTGAAGAGGCCAAAAACTTCAAAGCCTGGAGTGAAAAAATAAATAAAATACCCACCGATAATAATAATAAACCAGAAGCTTTTCAGCCCGACAAGCCTGCAGCACTTTTAGCATGACTAATATTTTCCATGTGAAATAATAATCTGTGGTGCTAAATTTCTCATCTCTATGCACATTGCAGACAACAGGTAGGCTCTGCCCAAATTCACCTCTGAGCAGGACCTTTTATAAGGCAGCTTTGTGCTCTTGTCGTGGGGAAAATAATAAACTCCCAGGGTACCTGCAAATAAGGAGGGTCAGATTCCAGCCACAGAGCTGACAAAGCCTCCAGTCCTCAGAGCAGGATGCAAAATCCTCCTTTGTGTGACAGCAGATCTTAAAGCAAACCCTCCTGCGTAGCAGTCCCAGCTCAGAGAGGTGATGGAGCGACCGATGCTGCCTAGCACCCTCCCCCAGGCAGGATCCGTCCGCAGGCTCCAGGTCACTCCCTGCCCTCACCCAGGTGGGACGGTGGCCAAGACATGAAAACCTTTGCATTCGCAGGGGTCTGCCCCCCAAAAAGCTGCACTTCCAAGCTCGCACAGCCCCACCACGCTGCCCCTGCCCACCTCCAGCTCCACACAAGAGCTCCCAGTCCCTGGGAGATGCTGCCGGGAGATGCTGAATGCACGGAGACTGAACCAAACCGAGAGAATAGAAGAAATACATACAAATGCTCTTCATTTAGTTTAACAATAATATATAGATGCCTCCAGCTTGTTGTCAAAAAAATCTGCCCTGAAAGGGGCCCGGAGCTTTCCCAGAGAGATTTTCTCAGCAAGATGTGACTGCAAAGCCTTAACACGTGCCCATGAGAGCTGGGTACAAAGAGGTTAAAACCAAGTAACAGCACCTCTGCAGTCAGGAGCCCCATGAGTGAGTTATGAAGTTAATGACAAAGCAGGACCACACTCCTCACAGGCTGCTCCAGCCCAGGCTCCCCATAAATCAAGTGGCGATCACCGTGGGGGTGATGGATGTGTGCAGGGCATGCACACAAGCTATAGGCTTTGGCGGGTAATAAGTGCACTGCTGTTCTCAAAGGAGCTGCCAGGATCGTCCTGGGGGGTTGGGGGTCCCTGTGAGCTCTCCCGGGAAATCATCACTGGGATGGGGAGGGATGCCTGGGGTGGCCCTGAGGGGAGGGGACACGCATTCCCCCCCAGCGCTGGGCTCAGCCCCCTGTTCACCCCCTCACATCTCCCACCCCGTGGGGCTCTTACCGCAGGGTCTTGCGGATCATGTCCTCGTCGGTGATGCCGTAGTAGGTGAGCGTCTCGTTCCAGGTGGGGTTCAGCGTGTTGCGCAGCGTTTTGGTTCTCAGCTTGTTTGCCTGGAAAAGCAAAGGAGACAGTGGTCAACAGGATCTGGCCCCAGGCGATTGTTTAGGCAGCAATGGGCGGAGAGGGGGGGAGAAAAGGAAGCACAGTTTGGAGATGAAGGGGCAGCTGGTGCTGTCACCCTTCTGCCCCAGTGCCGTAAACCGGACGGTCCTCGATGGGGTGGCCTAGACCCACCCCGACCACAGCAATAAGCAGAGGGGAAGAGACACAGTGACTTACTGGCTCGTTTGCACAGCAATCCAACCCCACATCCCACATGCTGCAAACAGCCAGCAAAATGGGAACCTTGGCAGAGCACAGCGAGAGGACGGGGATTTCATTTATGCAGGAGGAGTGAGAGAGAGAGTGAGAGTGAGAGAGAGAGAGAGGGGGGGAAAAAATGTATTTTCAGGTTCATTAAAATATACCAATTTGCTGTTCTGGCTGTTTATTTGCATTCCTGCTCCCAGCAGAGCTCCTGTTCCTGCCTGACTCAAAATAACTTCCTTGATACACATTTTGTTAGCACTGGCAACTCTTTCCAGCACCGCAGCTCTGCAGAGCAGGAGGCCAGGGACAGCGGAGCTGTCGTACCTGCTCGTGTCCCCAGCATTGATGGGTCATCCTGGCACACAGCCACTCCCCGAGGTCAGGGGACATTAATTTTTTTACCCCCTGGGCCACCTGCTTCTGTTGGGGAGCAGAAGCAAAGGGCTGCAGGCTTCAGATGGGGCTTCTCCCTGGAACAGTCTGACAGAGCAGCAATTTTCCCTCTAATAAGGTATAAAGTCAGGAAGTTCAATCCCTGCCTCAGCCACTGCTGGGCATAAGGAACTCTCAAGAAATCAGTACTTCAGAGTCATCTCGTGTGTCTTTATGGGAAGGTGCTACATTCACCAGCTTTGGTTCACCAGCCCTAAGCTAAATACGAGTGGGATGCAAAGCATGGGGTGAAGAAAAGAGCTTGTGCTTCCAGCAAAAGAGGCAGGACGGGTTATCTTGCTGGCATGTCCTTTCCCCACCAAAAACACCCCAAACACACAGTGTCTTCCAGATCAACTAGACACGGCCACCGGCCGGAGGAGCTGCTGGTGCAACGGAGCCATTGAGGGACCATGGCACAGCGTCTCGCTCCCAAACGCTTTGTGCAAAGCAGCTGCTTGCTCTGGGTTTGATCTCTTGGAGATAAAGTCTCTATTTTGTGTCATCCTTCCATTTAGGTTTCCAAAGCTGTTTCTGCCTCAGTGTAAAGCCTGCTGAGTGGTAACAAGGACAACAGGGAAAACGCCCTGATGGTACCCACTGCTTGTGTAGACCTGGTGGGGCCTGATCCTGGGGCTGGGACTCCAGGGATCAGGGAGGACCGTGGGTTTATCCAAAGGGGGGAGTGTGATGGGCATCACCCAGCAGCTAATGCTGCCCTGGGCAAGGGACACGAATTAAATCAGAGGAACTGAGCTCCCGGAGCGCCTTTTTCTCCCATCTGGAATGACTTAATAGTCAGTAACCAGCTCACATGGAGACCTGTGCATGAGGTGACTGAATCCAACCCTGCTTCCCACGGCTCTGGCCTGGGCTCTGCCGCAGGTGCCTGCCTGCCCCAGGCTGGGACAGAAACACCCGAAGGACCTGGGGACTGTCCTGCTGCTGGAACACTTGTACAGAAACATCCAGCCCAGGACACATTCACGACCCCCCCAGATCTTCTCACCTCCCCCTGAGCAGATTTGGGCAGTGCTGTTTGGAAACGGGGCACATGAACAGAGCAACCACAGCAGCAGAGGGACGTGGGGGCAAGGAGAGGGTCTCCCCACGGCTGCTCCGGGCTTGTAGAGGCTGCAGCTCCTGCGCTACCCTCAGCTCACCGCTTCCCTCCTGCCTCTCTGGTCTCCATCACCTCCAGAAGAAATGCTAATCAATGCATTTTCAAAACATGGAAATGACATAATATCGCTGATGAAAACGCTCCTGGCTCTCCTGTTTCCAACGGAACTTGAAATGTGGTTAAAAACTCCCTCTACCGCCCTAAACATTATGAATTAATTCAACTGAACCGTAACAAGTAAATATACCTCCCCCCAAAAGGTCTTTCCTTTAGTGTAAAATAAGAATGCAATTAATATTCATAACACATACATTTAACATTTAAATTCAACATCCCCATCAGCTATACCAAGCTCTTGCTACACATCAATATCTTTAATTACTCTTCTCTCCAGCAAGCGCTGAACCTAAGTAGATGGAAATATTTCCCTTACGATTTATACTCTGCTTTATTATGATCCGAGGGGTTTTAAATGCAAAAGAAAAAGGGGGGGAAAAAAAAAAGAGTTGGTTTGTTTGTAGCTCCAGATCATTTCACCTGGTGCTTCCCAGGGGCTTCTGGAGCGCAGCATTCACACCCCCTGCTCCCAAGGGTGGGGAGTCAGGCTGGCACCCGGCTCCCAGGCAGTGGTTTACTGGAGAGGCACTTGCTACCCCTACAAGGACGGATTTAGCCCCGGTTCTTACCTCCTGCTGCTGCTCTCTCCTGCTCCCCTGAGTGATAGCCGGGCAGGAGACTTGAGGTCTGGCTGCAGCAGCCCCTGAGTGTAGAGCTTCTCCCTGGGGAACCTCCCAGCCCTGATTTCAAAGGGAAAGGTGCACCCCCAGGAAGGGAAGGAGAAGCGAAAACGCATCTCACCTTACTGGCTCCGGGAAGCAAGTGCAATTTGACGTATGGATCAGCCAAACCATTATGGTCCATTGGCTTCAGGCCCTGGAGAGGAAACAGTAAAAAGCAGGAGTTAGGACACCAGCGAGACTTGGCAGGCGGGGTGGCTTCGCTGAGCCCAGCTACTGATGCCCGTTTCCCCGGAATGTCGTCGGTCCACGGAGTAACTGCACCGCTTCCCTGGGATCGGGGAAGGAGGAGAATACGGTCGGTGCAGGATCCGGGCTGCACAGCAAAAGCTGAGCACACTCAGTGTTCAGACGACGTCTGCGGTTTGCGCTGAGGAGGAGCTGCAAGAAAACTCCTCACCTGCACTTGGCATCGGCCGCAAAGCACCTCTGCTCTTCCAGCAGCTGACTCCGACACCTTGATCACAATTAATTTGGGGGTTAAGTAAATCAGCGCAGTGATTTTCAAGGATTGAAATTACAGGGTTTTGTCATTTAATAATTGCTTATGAGCAAACATACACCTCTGCTGTTGTGGTGTTACTTTTAAGTGCTCCCAGAGGGTGTGATAGCACCTACCTACTCTTTGTTATTAAGGCACAGCTGAAGGAAGAACAGCTTTCAGGCCAGTGGGAGGCTGTCACCAGCCGACTGCCACGGCATTTGCAGGGAAATCTGTGGGTACAGGAGCACAGACATAAGGAAATGCTCACTGCGGCCATTCCTGATGGATTTTCTATGAGACCCTCACAGCTTTTAAAGGATGACATGGATCATGTTAGCTATAGAGATGCTCTGGAGTTGATCCTGCTTCGGGCAGAGGGAGGAGACAAACCTGTTCCTCTTCTAAACAACCAGAGGGCTGAAAATTATCCAAGGTTGACGCACAAACTCAGCTCAAAGCCATTACTGCACAGACTGCAGGGAAACAAACTCCACAGGGTAGGGAAGCAACATAGGAGCATGAAAAATGGAGCCTAATTTTTACCAGTCCTAAATGGAAATTATAATGGATACATCATGAAAGTCCTTGGATTATTTCCAGCCTGGCTGCGGGATTCCTGCAGGAATTATTTCTAGGCTGTCTGAAGGCAATCCTCTGCCTGGATCAGAGGAAGGTTTCTCTCCAGAGGTATCCATCCAACCCTGACTCCAACCCAGGCATGGAAACCAGGCTGGGTGATGCTAAAGACTTGTCACACCTTTTGTGTGATGAGCAGAGTATTCAGTGCCTGGGTTTAATGAGCGTGTGCAGCTGCCAGGGATCCACCTGGCAGGAAAGCATTCGTATGGGTGGCTGGTGGAAAGGCTGCGTGAAATGAAAATGTAATCATCAAAGCCTGGGTTTGGACAAATCAAAGAGGGAAATGCTGGGGAAATTGCCTTCCATATTTTACACGTATGAAAAACACACCCAGCTTACCCCACAGCCCCAAGGCAGCCCCTCAGGATGCCCCTGTCCCACCCGTCCTCCTTGATTCACACAGTTCGGTTGAGGGCCCGAGCTGCTCCTGACCTTGGTGCAGGCTCTGCTTCAGAGACAAGCACTCTGCCCTGGGGCAAGGGAGACCAAATGGTGCCCAGCAAAGAGGACTTTGCTTCTAAAGCAGAGCCAAAAGGATAAAAATATCAGCAGTGAATGGAGGCTAAATGGCTGTGCTTTAACTGCAGTGCTTCTCAGGTGATGTCCCTGGCCCAGCAGAAGAGGAAGGCAGAGGATGAGAGGAAGGGGGTTGGTATCGGCTGGGGCTCCTTGGGCAGACATGGCAGCAAGGGGCTGAGCTGGCCCCCCAGGCTGCAGAGGGGTCCGGCCGGCCCAGCGCACAGACTGCTCACAGCCAAGCAAAGCGAAGGCTCACCCCAGCTTCACCTGCCCAACGCTGTGCAGCAAGTGAAATGAGAGGCAAGCAAGCAAATTCCCATCAAAATGGACGGAGAAAGACAGACAGCTCTGTAATTCACCCATCAATTCAGTTCAATTAAATTACCTTCTGAGGAGGCTATTAAAGGCTTTTTAAATAGATGTGCTATGGAAGGTGGAGTGACAGGAACCTGGAAAATGGCTCCCAATGTCACATCTACCTCCCTCCCATGACACTTGATACAAGTTTGGCACAGGGCTGAATTAACATGAGAGCATTTCCTATGGCTCTGCCCCGCAAAGCTGCTCCTGTGGGAGCTCACCCTTCCCAGGGACACGCAGGGTGACCCAGCACCATTTTTTCCCCTGAATGGCGGGACCTCCAGCCCAAAGCTGCTCCAAGAGAGCCAAGAGGCAGAGGAGGGCCACAGGGCTCATATCTGGGGGCAGAGTCTCCCATTGGCTTCAGCCAGCGCAGCCCCAGCTCCAACCAGTCCTCCTGTCAGGACCAGTTTACAGTGCTGTGCATCATGGCACGGGCAATGGAGCTGAGACTGAGTTTCATCTTTTCCCTTCCTCTACTCAACCTCAAAATCCCTGCTGCAATCCTACAGAGACCAACAATCCCGCTGCATCCCAGCTGCTGCCAGCTGCTCTCAGTGCCACTGACATTTAGCTAATCAATAGCATTTAATTACAAGTTGGGCTAATCGGGCTGCCGATTAACGCCACGCTAGAGGCATACAGAAATCACAGGAGACAGATTCGTTCCATCATTCACCCCACAGCAAGCTGCCTGCCCAGTGAGCAGGCTCCCTGCTGCCAAAAGCCTGCTCCTTGGCTCCCCGGGGCCACGGCATACCATTCTGAAATGGGGCAAACTCTGTGCTTCCACCCTGACAGCCCAGAGACACACAGCTTGGAGATGGGAATTTCCCCGCAGTGATGAATATTTATGAGTAAATCCATAAGTAATGCTCAGTGCAGACCTCCAGCGCTCAGCTTTGGCTGGAAGTAGGGGAGCATCCAAATGCTCAGAAGGGTGGAAACTCCTGAGTGTTTTCTAGCTGTGGCCGCAGCCTGAAGTGCAGGGAGAGCACCCAGGTATACTCGGACGGGCAGTGTCTGCTCTGCACGTCCTGCCTGGGGCCAGGGAGCTGCCTGCACAGCCACCTGAAGCTTGCCCAGGGCATCTTCCTCCTGAAAGCAGGAGACTAACAGAGCTACAGGACGGCACAGCCCCACAACGTCTGCACTGCCTCACCCCCCTAGAGATCCCCCTATACCACATTATTATCTTGCTCCGTGCAGCAGGTCGGGCTTTGCAGGACTGAGCAGAAAATGAGACCCGCACCCAAGCCACAGCCCAGCATGCCAGGACACAGACCCCAGTGCCTGCACGTTAATCGCATCATTTTCTATCACATTTTATAGGAGGGGGTGATGCCCAGCGCAGCCCAGGGGCAGCTGGCTGTTTCCCACACATGATGCTACAGTCCAACATAACCCCGGGGAGAGCACACGGCATCGGGCTGCAGGGGGAGAGCCCTCCTGCCAGCCTGCCCCACAGTCCAGAAATGGGCTCCCACACCGCCGTGATTTATTCTCCCATTGATCCGAGCTGAGCTGCAACGTGCCTGAGTTCAGCTGCGCCTGAAGTGTGAAAGGCAGGGTACGGGCAGGGCTGCTGCCAGGACTGAAAGCCGTTGGCACGAGGCAGCCGCTGGCAGCCTGCCTGCTCCTGCCTGCACAGGGTCCTGAGCTTTCTCGCGGCCAGAGAGAGGTGGCAGGAATGCTGGGCACGCCACCACAGCCCTGCCCCAGCCAGGGAGTAATGGGGTTTCTTGGTCTTTACCTCCCTGGTGTTGTGATATCCCAGGACAGCATCTGTTTCAGCCCCATAGTGCCGCACCAGCGAGCTCTAATGCTGCTGCAGTTGCCCCGAGGCTGCCCAGGGGTGACAACCTGATGCCTTCCAAAATCAGCTTCCTGATGGCAGGTCACCTCTGTGTGCTATAAGGGAAACTGATGCACCATGTGCCTCACTCCTGCTGTAACCACACAGCCTGGGGAGAGCCCTGCAGCCACCAGCTTCCACAGCCTGACTTCCCACAACAAAGCAAACCTCCTCTCATTCCCTACACCAGCTCCAAACCTCCTTTCATTCCCCCTTCCAGCTCCATCCAAACCTGGGATATAGGCTGACCTGAGAAACAGTCAGTACCTCGCAGATCCTTCTGTGAATGTAAACCAAGAAATACCTCAGATGTCCCCAGGCACCCGGCACCAGAGCAAACCCCCCGCACAGAGTGGCTATCCTGACCTCCTGCAGCTGATGGCTGCAGAGCAGAAAATTGGTGGCAGAGCACAACAGATTGGATTTAACCTGCTGCCAGTGCCTCCAAGAGCCTGCTAATCCCTTCCCCAGGAGCCAGCAACAGGACTTGGGAGGGAGACTGGCAGATACAAAAGTGCTGGAGACTAAAATACATAGAGAGAAGCAAAAACATCTAAAAGAAGAGGGTTGTTTGGGGGAATTATCAACGGGAGAAAGAAAAATACTTCTTGCATGGCTACAATAGTCGAGGTTTTAATGTCTGCTGGCAGCCACTGAGGCTCCAAGAGCTGCTGGAGTTGGGGCATGTCCTGAGGGCACCTTCCTTGGGGGCCTGGAACCTAGTACCCAAGACACCAGCCAGGCCAGCCCCAGCTCAGGTCCGAGGGCAATGTACATCCCAGCGCTGTGCTGTGGCTCACGTGCATGTCCCTGGCACTCCCCTGGCTACCGCAACACCCGCTCCACAGCACTACTTCTAGCATCTACGCAGCCAACGCCGGCTCCCACCGACAGCAGCCGGGGTCCTGGCCCTTACCTTTTTGAAGTCAAGTTTTGGCAGCTTCCCCCAGGCGAGAGATGAAATGAGAGCGAGCAGATGGCAACGTAAATAAAAGAGAAAAATGGGAGAATGAGAGCAGAATGGAAATGAACAGAACTCGAACGCTTGGATGTCAGAGCGGCGAGGGGGGGTCTTGCCCACCCCGTGAGCAGGGGTGATGCTGGTGCCGTGTGTTGCCCCCCAGCCCCGTGGGACGGGGTCAGCAATTGCTATTCTTGTACAGCTGGGTGGGCACTGTGGGGACCGGGGCTCTCCTTCATCCGCCCTGCCTTTGCTCTCGCTGCTGTTAGATCTATCACTTGCCGTTTGCAGGTCTCCTTCCTCCCTGTCTTCCACCCACTGCAAACCCAATTAGAAACCTCCTCCTTGGCACCGCTCCCGAGCGCACCAAGGGAAGCCTGACCCGGAGGCTGCCGGCGAATTCACCGGCAACAGGCAGGGGGGAAACGGGGAGGGAAGCAAAACCTGCCAGCTGCCTCACCCCTGCCCCGGGAGCTGCCGGTGCTGGGCTCGCCCCCCGGCCGGGAGCAGCTCCAGGTCTTCCAGGGCACATTCCTCCCTGCTCAGCCCCAAAGCCAAGCTTTTGTGCTTGGGGTCTTATTCCAGATGGGGAAAACCCTGGGGTGAGGACATGCATTCTCAGCAGCCAGCTCAGCACCCAGTGCAGTGGGTTCTAGGGTGGGGGCTGCAAATAAGGCAGTTGCAACTGGAGGGAAGAAGAACATCCTATGAAGGCAAATGGCGTGGGCTGATCCTCTGGGGGCTCAGCTCACAACATGTTCTCCTGCAGTTTTTCCTGTCTTCTGTAAAAACCCTCCACCCCTTCCCAAGATCTACAGAGACTTAGGTCTTCCTCCACCCACCCACCACTGTCGGGGCCCAGCCGTATCGACCTAGAGCCCTCACTGCTCTACTCCTCGTGCCAGGGAAAGCAGAGAGGAACTGAGCAACACCCAGAAGCACCTTCTATGGGCCCGGAGGCAGAATCAGGACCTCAGCTATCTGTTTCTGCTCCAAAATGTGCAAAAAACCTCTAATTGCTTCAATCACGCAGACGGCAAAGGCGCTGAGGCAGGGCACTTTGTGGCAATGATTAGCAGCATTTAAAAGAGCCATTTATAAACTGACAGCCAGTCACAGTATCAAGTAAATAACAACATCGGGTTGGGTGCTTTTCAAAAAAGCATCAATAGCTGCGACCATCTCGTCACAGGGATGAGCAGCCATCTCTGTCCCACTGGAAACACCCTGAAAGGCAGGGATGGAGGGGAAGGAGAGGGCAGAAGCACTGGCTGCCAGGATAGGAGCAGAGCTGGCAAAGGGATGGCTGCAGCTGGGGTCACCAGAGCCACTGGCACAACCTGGGGACGGGGGGACACCTGGCCGCCCCCACGTGCTGCCCTCACTGCTGCATTTGTTTGGCACAGGCACAGCACCCCCGTGGCCTTGTGGTTTTGGCAGGGCTCTGGTGGCCCCACAACGCAGAACAGAGGTGGCCAGCTCCAGGTATATTCAGTCTTTGCTGTCCACATGCCCAGCGCTGAGACGTACCTTGGCTTTATTGATCGTGCAGTGGAGAGCGTTGTTTTCTTGATCATAGAGCAAGCTGAAATCCAGCGTCCCCAGCGTGGCTGCAAAGGAGAAAAGATGTTATTAACCCGTGGGGGCCAGCAAACATTGTCTCTTCTCCCTCTAAGCACAAAAGGAGCAGATGAAGATGCTAGACAAATGGCTGCAGACATTATAAAACATAAAGCATCCCCCTGTGAGCCCTGTTATGAAACATGGCTTCATGCTGAGAGGCTGATGGCCATGCTCACATTTGGCCAGTGGGGCTGGCACAGCCCTGGGAGAGGAGTGAGAGGGATGAAGGTCTGCGGCTCGCCCAGGCACTGCTGCCAGCGCAAAGGTTTTGCCTCTGTGGGCTTTTACACGGGTCACCCCCATCTATCAGCAGCCTCACTGCAGCCAGCAGCTTCCCGGGCCCCAGGCATTGAAGGCTCTTGTCTGGGAAGAGCCAGGCAGGGCTGGGACACAGCCGAGACCTGCTCTCAGCACATCTCCCCCTCTCCAGAACCACTGGCATTCCCAGAATGAGTATTTGTACACTGACACCTTCAAACAAATGAGCTACCAATGGGATCCCTTCCCAGCTCCAATTTGGCTGCAAACTGTAAATTAAACCCAGTGAGAATGGAAATGCTTTTATGGTCAAAATGAAAAACACCAACAGCTTTTAATCTGAGCAGTGTTCCCTTACAGCATCTGCAACCCAGGAATGGCAGCAATGGGGCAGCTCGTGGGATGTGACCACAGGGAAGGGACAGGAGATCAGGACAAACCACAGGAACCTCAGCAGCAAAAGTACATTTGATTTGAGAAATTCTTTCCCTTTAGACGATCTGAGCAAGTTGCGCTAATCCAAAGCAGAGGAAAAACCTTAAAAAGATACGCTTTCCAAAAGCATCATTTAATCTTCTCCAAGGCTTCCGGATCCGATTTGCACACCAAAGCCTGGCCACGGAGCAGCAGCTCCCCCAGCACAGCTTTGCCTGCCACCAGCTTTGAACTTCCAGGGTGGCTCTGAACCCGGCAGCCCACACTTTTCCAGGCCCACCTTCCCAAAAGGGGTCTGCCCCAGCACTGCCTTGCCGCCACCACGCAGCATCCCACCGCTGTTTCCAAGGTAACTGCACCTTCCCGCCACGCACGCAGGTTCAGAGCAGGGGAAAAAAAAAAAAAATCCCTAATAAAAACCAGAACAATTTTGCTTAATATCAAAGCAGGGTTTTCTGCCTGGGAGGTAAGTTAGACAAACTTTATGGCAGGAAATAAGGCGTTTTTTTTCCCAGAGTCAATAGCCTCTGTAGCAAGGCACCCCAGGAGGTAGCAAATGTTCAGGGGACTGAAACCTTCCTGCTGCAATTTCACAGAGATCTTCCAGCCCAAACACAAGTGAGCTACAGGTTTGCCTGCTAGCAAATAAAAATCATTGCTCCAGAGCAAATATCTTGCCTTCAAAGCACAGCAAATATTCAGAGAAATTTCTGCCAGAATAATGTACCCCACCCCCCCCCCCCCGCTTATTCTGGAGTAATTTCATGGCACATTAGCTATTGGTTTAGGTAAGTCATAAATCAGTGGGGTTTACCTGCCAGGGCTCAGAGAAGATGGAATTGATACAGGGTGAGGCCAAACCTGCAACACTTTGTGGATCATTTCTGGGGTTGGCCCAAGTGGGCATTTCCAGAGCAATTAATGGCCAAACTTGCTCCATATCATGCAAGGAGGAAAGCGGAGCAGTGCCCCAGCGTGCTGGGGGCTGGCTGTCCCCTGCCTGGCGATGGGGAGCTCACGGCAGTGTCAGAGCACCAGCCCTGGGCTGGTGCAGCCGGGAGGCTCCACGGCACATGGGTGAAAGCCAAGTCAGCAAAACTCAGCAAATCTGCATTTTCGCTCGAGAGCAGAAGATGAAGCCTCCAGTTTCAGAGCCTCATCATTTCCACCTGCCCTTTAATCAGCCGCTTCCTGCCAGACCCACTGGTCGGCCCTCCCAAGTTCAAGCTGTTATTTTATTTTTATCGCTGAAAGGGGCCCACGGCTTAGCCTGCTGGATTTGGCAATTTATAAAACAAATTAAAAGCTTGGCTTGAAAACAGACTTCGGCCAGGAAATATTTACAAAGCCTCCTGTCCCCTCAGCGCTGCAATCTGCCCCAGGGGTGAAGGCAGCAGGGAGCCCCGCTCCGGCGAGACGGGCAAAACCTAAAAGCACCGTCAGCAAAAGCTTGTTTTGCAGATGGGGACTAAGGTCCTGCTCCTCAGCACTGGTGGCCCACGAGCAAACCTTAAGCAGTTCCTATTCATCTTGGAGCTGCCTGCAGATGGGAGGGAATGGACAGGAGTGCATGACACCCCCTAGCTCTGTTGGGCTCCCTCCTCGGCTCTCCTCCAGCCCTGGAGGGGTTTTCCTCTACGCAGGGAGTTTTTTTAATTGATGGTGAGTCTTGATTCCTGAGGAAGGGTCTGCCTGCAGCTGAGGGATGTGGAAACATCAGCAGAACGTGTTGTGCTAATTGCTTAAAAACTGCGGCCATATGGAGATTGACAAAAGGGATCAGCTAACTTGGGGTTTGGCAGCTAAGGTGCTGCTGTGGAGCTGAGGGCGAGCGCTGCTGAGAGAGCCAGGACCCAGCAGGGCGGCGGGTGCTGAGGACACATCTCCCATGGGAGCAGCCCCACAGCCTCTGTTACCTCCTGGGGATGCGCCACCGGATTCAGCACAGTGGCAAAGGCAGAGACGAGGCTGGTGCTCAAGCTGCCCACGTCCCTGGCTGGCTGCTCCCAGGCAGACTGGCCCCAGGGTTGCTCAGGGGGCTGAGGAAATGGCAGGAGACCTCCGGTTGAATCCAAGGGTGGGAACCATGCTGCAGCCCGCAACAGCTCTGTGTGAACCCCCACGGGACTGCAGCCCAGTCGGAGAGCCAGCCCTGCGCTCCCAGAGTGGGGAGCACACCGAGTGAGCGGCTAAGCAAGCCAACACCAAAACACTGGCATGGGTCTCACCTCTCTCAGCCCTCCTGCAAACCTCCGGCAGCACATCCAGCCCTGGCTGTGGGAGACCTGCAGTCTCCAGCCGGCAGGATTGGGCCCAAAGCCTCCGGGCTGCAGCAGCCAGCTCCAAACACGGCCCTCCACAGAGCAGCCGAATCGCCCTTCTCCGATTGCTTTCCCCCTCCCACCCATCCTTGCAGCTGAGATGCAACTCGATTGTGCTCTTAATTAGGGGAGCGAGTGCCTAAAAAAGAAAAGGGCAGCAATTAGACTCGAAGCGCTGTTACTAGATGTATTTAACTCGACTGGGCTATTCTGAACGCTGCCCTCTAATCACACAGGCTGCAAATAAAAAAATATAAATAAATGTCTTTGTCAGGCATTACAAAGGCAGCTTTGCGCTCTCCAGACAGCAGGCAGGATGTATCATTATTATTACAATTATTCTGCTCCAATGATAAAATAACCATTAGGAAGAGCTAAACTCATTAGCAGGTTCTGACCCTCTTTCCTCTCCACGAATTGGGAGAGATTGATGGGAAGGTGCCAGCCAGGGTCTGGCATTTAACACAGGCTCTAAAAAGGAAAATCAATCTGACTTGCACAGGAATGCGGCCTCTTCTCCCACTGACCTTTGGGCATTTTGATTAATTCAGTGGGCCACAAAATTATGAGAGGCCATCATAACCAGCAAATGTGTCTCTGGGCTTAGCCGTGGGATACAACGAGCACGCCCAGAGCCCACGGGCAGCGCGGCGTCCTGGCACAGCACTGCTACTGCCCTTGTTGGTGGAGTCGGCAGAAATTGTTTATTGCTGACATTTCCCATCAGCGCCCAGGGTGATGGGGAGGCTGAAGTAGCTTCTATTTATACCTGCGGGATGAAAGGCAAAACGCGGTGATAAATCTGTGCTCTGCTCCCTTATCCAGCCCCTGTCCTTGAAGGCTACGTACCCTTGCCTGGCCCATGCAGGGTGGCAAATCCACCCCCTCAGTGGCCCTGGGACACCCCATGGAGAAGAGTTTCTCAGCCCAAGAGATGCTCAGGACCTGGAAGAGGCACCGGCACTTGCAGCACAGACCCATGAGATTCAGCACAGCCCGCAGAGGAGGGAACCAATGACTGAGTGGGCTCCTTACCTTCCAAAGTCAGGGAAGCTTTCACATCACAACTGCCATTACAAAGCTCAGCAAGGTTCCACACTGGGAGAAATCGAGGTGTGCACAGAAAAACCACTATAGAACTAATTAAAAAGAAGTCCAAAAGCTTTAAGTCCCTCTGCTTATCAGCATTGCTGCTCCCAAGATAATCTGCTCAAGGATTTTGTGCCAGGGAGATCAGAGTGGAGCAGTAAAAAGACTGCTGGGGATTGTCTGGATTAGCTCTCCCTTACAGAAAGCACAGGTTCAGTAACCTTCAGACTGGGTATTTTTTAATGCACTATAAAAGATAGGTCCCTATTCTTCTGTTGCTTTAATTTTCCTCTGCAATGGAGATAATTTTAAAGGTCCTGAAAGGCAGCAAGTAATTCTGTGCACTTATAGCCCCATGTAAAATGTCGGTAAATGACTCCTCCGGAGGAACAAAAATTATTTCTTGCCATTTCCAAGCAGGGCTGCTGAAGATTGCTTTGGTGGCAGGCTGTGTGTGCTCGCTCCTGCCTCCCCAAGCGCAGTAACACCTTATCCAGGTCCAGCAGAACACGATGGGGCAGCGACCAGCAGCGAGCAGCAGGGCAGGCTCAAGGACTGACTACCCTGCCCCACATGGGAACGAGCCCCTGAAAGCCCCAAGCCCCTGAGTGCCCCCCAGAGTTACCCCTGGAAAACAGCACTGTCAGTCTCAGCAGCCTCCCACAGCTGGGGCCAAGCTGGCCCAGCAGCTGCAGCGCCCCTGGTCTGTGCACAGACCCAGTTGGGCTGCTGCTTACAACTCATGTGCCTCCAAGGGGAGAGGGTGCTTGGCTTGTCAGGGATGGATCCTGTAAGGTGCTGAGTCAAGGCGCTGCAGACCCTGATGGTTGTGAGCCCCCAGGTCTGACGGTAGCACTGACCTCTGGCATGAACCTACAGCCACT